GTGGCATTTCCAGAGTTCAGCAATTGGTGACCCCTGTGTTCAATTGAGTGAAAGTAACACCTGTGGAGGCAGTGTTTATGGCCTGTGTCACTCATGCTACCTAATGCTCACAGAAACATTGGGTTCTATGATGCTGTCTTCTGTATCAGACCAGGCCTGGAGCCATCACAGAACTGGGAAACATGAGCCTACCTTGGGCAGCAGTACCAGAGTCTGGTTGTACTTGCTCAGCTCATGGTTACTCCTTATGTGGGAGGTTTTGAACTGCTCTCTTCTCTTTATCCCCTGCTGCTCCTCAGTCTGCCATGCTGGGAGATAGTAGGCAAAGGGCTGTAGTCCAGGAAAAGGAGAGATGGCCTGAGGGCATCTGATCCAGAAGAAGGTGAGATGGCCTCAGTTTCTAGTGGAAGAGGCAGTGGCACTGCAGCCAGACAGGGATGCTTGACAACAGGAGTTCTCTAGGGGCTTATTTCTTTGAGCTGCCCCAGGAGAGTGTTGGTGGCAAGTCGAAGTTCTTTAAAGGAATAGGGTTATTCCTTGTTCTCCGGAAGACTCGTTTTCTATAGAGGAAGCCAAAGTCAGATGGATTGAAGACCCAGTCCTCATGTCTGTCGTGGAGAGTGCCTTGAGCAGACTCAGGTGACTGCCAGGATGATTGGGCTAGAATGGCCAGGCCAGGGTCCCATAGGGAAGAGACAGGGTAGGTTAGAAACATAGGAAAGGTCAGGTCTTCAGAAGCAAGCCTGAGATCTGTGGGTGTATATTCATCTCCACTTGGGGTACTCTGTTCTCTGTTTCAGGACCAACCACATTGAGCTAGGGCTGCCCTCTTTTCAGGGCAGTACTGCTTCTGTGTTGTGGGTAGGAACCGCTGTGTGGGGAGACTTAAGTTTTCAGAGTGATCACTCTCCTGTATCTAGGTGTTGCTACCCAGGGTGAAGGCTGAGCTACTGCTACCTTCTCTGTCCTGTTGTGTTCTGGTGGGAAGTGTGTGTGACAGTTGCACATTGTTTACATTGTCTGGACACAGTGTTTCTGTACTGAACTTCCCTTTGCATATCCTATATGCCCTCCCCTTGATCACTCACCCATCCTGTACATTTAGACTATCCCCCAAACACTTATGCCCACTCTTGCAATCCCCTCCCCCACAGCTCATGCTTTTTTGCACATCTTCACGTGACTCTGGATGTCTGAGGTTCATGGCCTACAAAGAATTTAGGGTTACGAGTCTTTTTCTGTTTCACCAGCCAGCTCCCAAATAATGATACAGAGAGACTTCTTATTGATTATGAAAGCTTGGTCTTAGTTTAGGCTTGTTTCTAACTAGCTCTTATAACTTAATCTGTTTCTATAGTATGTGTTGCCATGTGGCTCGTGGCTTTTACCTCTCCTTCTGTATGTCCTACTTCCTTTATTATAAGAAAACGAGAGCCAGGTGTGGTGGTTGATGCCAAGGTGTGGGGATTGCCATGAGTTCCAGGCTAGTTTAGGCTACCACGTTCTTTGTCAGACCCTGGGGGGGTGTCAGACCCCTGTCTGGGGGGGGGGTGGGAGAGGGAAAAAAAAATCAAACAAACCAGAATATGAAATACTTTAGAAGTTAAAGCTATTTTAGTTAATGTAAAACACAAAAAGGTTTAAACAAATCTTTTCATTTTTAAGATTTCTTATTCATGCCCTAAATTTTAATTCTCTAGAGTAACTGAAGCCTCCCACACCCCTTTCTTCACTATCCAGCAGGTAAACTGCTTCTGGTAAAAAGTAGGTTCACAAGTGGGCTGCACCATTCCCTTGCCCCTTTGACTTCAAACATCTCTTTGCTGAAATGAAACTCTACAACACTGTTTTCCTCTGTAAATATTGTCTGTGATGCAGTTCATAGCCACAGCCCCGAAAGGAGGAGCTGCCTTAATGTCCATTTCCTTAGCCATTCCACTCACAGATGCTCCGATGTCACCATAGGAACTGTGCAGCTACAGCCCAAGGTTTTTTTGTGGGCTCAGGTGACAGCTGTGTGTTCAAGAGCCTCTTTCCTAAGGCTGGGCCTCTTGTTGGGGATACCTTGCTATCTCTTGAGAGCAGGATGTGGCAGAGCCTCATGCTCAGAGGAGATGTGGAGATGAGGCTTATGCTAGATGCTAGGGTTAGGGTGGCCTGGCTTTTTATTCTTAGCTCTTTTTCGTTTTCTTTTTCTGTTTATACTGTTAGCCCAGGCTAGCCTCCAACTCCTCAGCCTCCTGAAAACTGGGATTATAAATTTGAACTACTCTACCTGGATATAGACAGGATGAATGAAAACTTCAGAAAGAAGCTTCTCCTTACCTTGCCCCTGGCAGTTTATGAAGCACCAGAGCTAAACATACGCTGGCTGTGTCCACCCTGTTGGAGCCTTTAGCTGCTCAGGCATGGCAGATGGGAGCCTGGGTCCTAAGTGCTGCTCTATCAGGGTCTGTGACAGTGAAATGAGGATGTTGGGCTGTAGGCCTTGCTGCCCTTTGCTCCAGCTTCATAGAATCCTGTTTGCCTTTCCTGAATCTAGAGCTAGCTAGGGTAGAGCTAGACTCAGACATGTTCTCAGCTCGGCCATAGTGAGCTCTGTTCATGGGCAAGTATGCACAGGAGATAAGTGATGCTCAGGCCTGTCTTTTTGGGAGGAGATAATCTGGGCAGCAGCAGTGTGAAGCTGGGACCCACAAGGTGTGATGTGGGAAAGTCAGTGTTGGGGTTCTGACAGCCTTGGGCCTGGGTCAGCCTGTGTTGAACCAGTCTTGTGTTTCAGATGGGTTGTTCCTTCTGGAAGAGCAACTGTTAAATCAGGACTAGCTTGAGAGGGTCCTTTATTTTTATCTTTTTCTTTTCTTTTCTTTCTTTCTTTTTTTTTTTTTTTTTTTTTTTTTTTTTGAGACAGGGTTTCCCTGTGCAGTCCTGGCTGTCCTGGAACTCAGATGCCTCCTAAAGGCATTTGCCACCACTTGTCTTTTATTTATATTTTTTGTTATAGCTTCATACATGAATGCAGTGTATCTTGATCATGTCCACCCTCTTCAACTCCAGCACTTCCATTCTCACTGTCACGGAGAGGGTCTTTTTCTTTAAAACTTTGATTGATTTATGTCTTGTGTACAGGTGTTCTGCCAGCGCCTGTGTCTGTGCGAAGGAGGGCTTCAGATTCCTGGCTGTGAAATGCTGTGTTAGTGCTGGGGATCTAACCTAGTCTTCTGGGAGAGCAGACTCTTAACTGCTGAGCCACCTCTCCAGTGGCCCCCCCCCCCATTTTAAGATTTATTTTTATTTTATTTGTATGAGTGTTTGCTGTATGTATGCTGTGTATATGCACCATGTGTGTACAATGTTCTTCTCTGCCAGAATAAGGTATCAGATCTCTTGGAGCTGGAGTTTGAGGAGCTGTGAACTGCATGACATAGATCAGTTCTAGAACTGAACTTGAGTCCTCTGCAACAGCAGCAAATGCTTGTGACCATCTCTCCGCCCTGAATCTGTTTTATTTTTTATTTAAGCCATTTTAATTTTATTTAAAAAGAACCCTAAAATTCAAATTTATTTTTAAGTTGTACATAAAAACCACAAAAATCTTACAAAATAATTGGACACCATGTGTGGTATGGTGTGTGCATTGTCTGTAATGTTTATGCATAAAACTTTTACATTTTCTTTTCTTTTTTCTTTTCATACATTATACAATGCATTTTTCTACCATATCTGCTCTCATTTCCCTCCTCCAATTTCGTCTGTATTCACCTCCAACATACTTCCCTCTGAATTTCATGTTGTCTTCTGGTTTTGTTTTTGTCTGGTAATGTTGCTCATGGGCCATTTACTGTAACCTGTCAGTGGTCACTCATACTCTCAGAGAAGAAGGCTTCTCCCTCTTTTAGCAGCTCTCAGTTGTTGAGGTGATTTTATTTATTTATTTTTGAGACATGATTTCACTAATAGCCCAGGCTGGCTGTACCTCTGCTTCCTGAGTGCTGGGGTTAAAAGTTTGCTCCACCATGCCTAACAAAGCTATTTTTGAAGTTTTAATTTTATTTATTAGTATTGCATGTGGAGGCTGTCAGTTCTCACCTTCCACTTTTACCTGGGGTTCTGCAGATTAGACTCAGATTGCCAGGGTTGTGCAGCAAGTGCCCTGCCCACTGTGCTTGCTGCCTTCTGATTCCTTTAAACTGTTTTCCTTGTTGTTTCAAAAGTGATTTAAACATGGAGACTTGTTTTTGCATACAGCCTTCTTTAAGCTATGTGGTAAGATGTGTGGCTTGGTTAATTCCCCTGAGCTCTTTGGACTGTGATTTATGTGCCAGTCTGGATAAAGTTAAAAGCCAGCATTTCTGAAGGATGGGTGATATCCAGCAACAGAAATTACATGTGGTAGAAGTTTGACTGTCACAAAATAGCTGTCCTTTTATTTCTTCTAACTGCATTTCCCGTTGTGGACAGACTTGCTAGATTTTACAGGTTTGTGAGTTTCATGAGAGAAGACAGTTCTCCTGTAGGTTTAACTGTGGGGTTAAGCTGTTCGTTCATCTGAGATCATGGAAGTCAGCTTCTATGAGCTATAGCTGATGGCTTACTGGAGAAGCCCTCAGCGGGTGTTGTGGGTGCTTTCCAGCCTCAGAACTGTGGCGCACAGGTAGAAAGAATTGAACTAGTGGTGTGGTGCACCTATTGTGAGGTCTAGATGGGGGTTCCCACCTTGCTGTGACTATGCTAGGCCAGTCAACTAGGTTCTTGTGCTCTGCTGCTGGCCTTGAACCAGTGTACTTCATTCCTTGGTCTTGCCTCCTGTCTTCAAGTTACAAGGCTGAATGGAGACCCCAGGGTTTTGTGGTTGTGTCCCATGTAGTTGGACATTTATGTGGCTCACACCTCTTCCCTACCCCTGCGCCACTGAAAACCATGATTCTCTGTGTGGATCCTAGCAGGAATGAGTGCTTCTTTGAGGCAATGAAACAATGTATTTATATTCTTTTTTCTAGGTAAAAGTAAAGAAGCCGAAATAAAGAGGATAAACAAGGAACTGGCAAATATTAGATCAAAATTTAAAGGTAAGTGCTACTCTTTTGTACAACACAGTAAGGGCCTTGTGAAGATTGTTAATCTTCCTTGTCAACCTGATGAGATCTGGATTCCATCTGTGCGTGATATCTAAGTTTGGTTCATTGAAGAAGGAAGACACCCTAAATGTATGTAGTACTATTCCATGGGGGTCCTGGACTGAATTAGAAAAAAGTGAGCTGACTACATTCATCCAAGCCTCAGGAGTGTTCCCAGTCAACCATAGTGATCCCTGCTTATAATCAGGTGTGTTCAGACCTGTCCGTGGGTTCTTATTTTGTTTTCTGACTGGATGCAGTATGAGCAGTCACCTCAAGTTCCTGCTTCTGACATCTTCATCATGATGGGCATACCCTTGAACTGTGAACCAAAATCAAGTCTCCCTTAAATTGCTTTTGTTAGGTATTTCTGTTGCAATTATCAGAAAAGCAATAAATACAGAAACAATCTTATAACATGTGTTTTGTTTTGTTACAAGATTTCTCTGTGTAGCTCTAGCTGCTTTGGAACTTGCTCTGTAGATCAGGCTGACCTCAAACTCACAGAGGTCCACCTGCCTCTGCCTCCTGAGTGTATCACCACTACCAGTAAATCCAGCCATTGAAGGATCCAGGCAGTGAGAACAGCTTGTTTGGAATTGGATAGTTAGCCCCTTCCTAGCTTTGGTGTTTTCCTAGGGGTTGGAAATAACACTGACCTGGTGTCTTGTGTAGAAAGTACTGCATGTGTCTGCCCAGCTGAAAAATTATTTTATCCTGTGTGTATGGGTGTTTTTCCTGCGTGTGTGTTTGTACGCCATGTGTATGTCTGATGCTCACAGAGGCAAGAAGATGGCATCAGATCCCCTGGCACTGAAGTTACAGATAGTTGTAAGCTGCCATGTGGATGCTGGGAATTGAACCTGGGTCCCCTGGAAGAGTACTCTTAACTACTGAGCCGTCTCTCCAGCCCCAAATGTTGATAATTTTGTCAATTTTAAAGCCATAAAGACTTTGGGGTCTGAGAGATATGTAGTTCTGGCTGTCCTAGAACTCACTGGCTATGTAGACTAGGCTGGCCTTAAACTCAACAGTTATCTGTCTGTCTGTCCCTCCCAAGTGCTGGGATTAAAGGTGTGTGCTACCACACCTTGCACTAATGCCTCACAGTAAAAAGTAAATAGACATAGATGAAACTAAACTTTGGTAACATACTCTGTAGCCCAGACTTCCAAAATATTGCTGCAACATGCTATTGGCAGCAAAAATTACCAAGGTGTGCTCTTTTTTTTTCATGTAACTCTTTGACTCCATTTGTGTTTCTTTCACATTTGGAGCCCATCTCCATTTGGACCCTCTGAATCTCAGGTGTCTGGCTGTGTGGGTGGCTCGTGCGGGGTGGCTTGTGTCACCTGAATACCACAGGAGACCAGTCCTGCCACTGGAAGTTAGCTGGGGAGCAGACAGTGTTCCAAGACCTCCTGGGAGCATCAGAGTGCCATGAAAAAAGAAACATTCCCAGGCCACCCAGGAGGTAGCTATGACTTGAAGTCAGAACAGTACTGTACATGCCTTTACCCTTACTACCCTGAGAAGGAGAGTACAGACAGAGCTGTTTTGGTGGCCATGACCATTGGTTGGAATGATCTTGTTTTCCTTGTAAGAAATAAGCTTTTGGTTGTCAGCTGGGGGGAAGGCTATAGCTGGCATCTGGTAGGCAGAGGCTAGAGGCTTTGGACACTCATAGGACATAGCTCCTTCCTACCAAGAAATACCTGGCTCAGAATGTCAGGATCCCCTGTGTAGAGAAATAAAAGCCAAAGCCTGGAGCCCAAGAGATTGGAGACCTTCTATATCAAACCAAAATCATCCTAGAGCTTTGGGAACTTGTCCCACTGGCTCTGTTGGTGTGGCATTGTGTACAGCCTCACACTTAGACCTGGGTTGAGGTCCCTTTGGTAGGAAAGTGTTATCTTCCGACCTCAAATGCAATTGGTTTAGATACACTCTTTAGTGTGTGCTCAGAGAGAACAAGGGTGCTCAGAGAAACAAGATCCTGTGAGCTGGAGCCCACAGAGGCCCAGGAGATGGAATCATGAGGACTTTTAAGTCAGCTTCATGTTACAATGAACTAGGTTTACAGCATTTTAAAGGTTTAAGAGACAAACTCAGTAGGAAACTTACAAAGTGTCAGAAGTGAGAATAGACTTTGAAATAAGACCAGTTGCAGAACTTAAATGAAGATACAGTGGTGGCTGTGGTGATGGGTAATTTAAGAGCACTTTGGTGTTCTGGAAGGCTAGTCAGATGTAAAATGTAGCTCAGAGGAAGAAGAGGTGGTGGGTGGATAGATGGTGGGAAACACAGACTAGAGTTGATGCCTGGAAGGTTGCTTGGTGTCTTGGAGGAACAAGGTGGTTGGGGTGGGCAGATCTGATGGATGGGCCTTAGAAAACCAAGAATCAGTGGAACGAAAAGAAAAGAAGAAAAAAAAAAAGTTTCCCCGAGTATGGTAGTATACAATGTGTGAGTTCAGACAGATGCTTTGAGCAGCCAAGGGCAGAGGGCCTGTCTCCACAGCAGCTGTGCAAAGCTGGCAGCTTTTTGAGCAGGAACAGCAGGGAGCAGGAAGAAGGATGCTAAGTCCAGACATTGAGGAAGTCCATTCTTGGCTCAAAGAAAAGAGAATTAAAAAACAACCACAGGGAGTGGGGAGGAAGAGGAAAGGGGGGTGGAGAGAGAGAGAGGGAGGGAGGGAGAGAAAGGACAAGAGCCAGTGCGAGCTGGCATATACAAACACTTGTAAAACTCAGGAGCCTGAGGCAGGTGTTATAGTGAGACCTTGTCTCAAAAAACAAAATAAGGGCTAAAGAGATGACTTGGTGGTTAAGAGTCTTGTTCTTTCAGAGGACCTGGGTTTAATTTGATTCCCAGCGCCCACAGGGTTGCTTACAACCATCTAATTCCAGTTTCAGAGGATCCAATATCCTCTTCTGGGATTGCATGCACATGATGAAGCATGTAGGCAAAATACCTGTACTCATGAAACAAAACAAGCCAAATTATAAGTCTAGGCATGGAGGCATAGGCAGGTGGATCTCTGTGAGTTTAAGGATAGCCTGGTCTACATGACAGCAAGTTCCAGGCCAGTCAGTAACACATAGTGAGACCCTGTCTCAAAAAACCAACTCTTTCAAAACAACAACAACAACAACAATAATAATAATAATAATAAACTTAAAAATATTTTAAAGACAAAGTGGAAGAGTTTCTTAACAGCAGGCTTCTCTGATAGAGGAACTTTTATAGATTCATGATTCCAGGTAGAAGGTCAGTTATACAGAAAGGAATGATAAAGCAGAGGATGCAGGGTAAATTTTAAATGGTGATTATGTGTGGTAATGCTGTCTTGTGGAGTTTAAAGTCTATGTAGAAATCAATTCCTTGATAGCAAGCAGATAAAACATGAGCAGTGAACATTGGAGCATTGAATCTGTTTATCTTTATGGCACTCTAAACTTACTGAATGATTAATGCTGAGTTCTACAAAAGGGTATTACTTTAATTAAGACTTAGAAGGACCAGGCTGCCCAGAAAGTGTGATGTCATGAAGGTTAACTTTGAACTTCTGATTCTCCTACCTCTACCACCCTAGTTCTGAGATTATAAGGTGTTTGCTACCACATCTGGTTTCTGTGGTAAATCAAGTGATGGGGATCAAACCCAGGTCTTCCTGCATGTTGGGCAAACATTCTATCAATGATCTGTGTTTCCAGCCCTTTTAGTTTACACTTGGCCACCTCAAAATAGTTTTAAAATTGAATTGGTTAGATAGACATACAATATTTAATTTTTTAATGAGACATTGTCTCATCTAGTCTAAAATAGCCTCAAACTTTGCTATGCAGCCAAGACTGGCCTTGAACTTTAGATCCTCTTACATTTTGCCAGGTACTGGAATTAGAGGTGTGTGCCACTATACCACAGGAAAATTGCTATAAGTTCAAGGCCATCCTGGGCTACATAGTGAGTTCCAGGTCAGCCTGGGGTATAGAATGAGGCTTCGTCTCATTCATTATTCCTCAAAAAGTTGCACATGTGAAGCCTTCACTAACAGGCAGAAAGAAATACCAAACCTGTATATTTGTTTGAAACCACATCTGTACATGAGCAAGCCAGGGATTCACAGCTGTAGAAGCCTGACAGTGAGTTATAGGAATTGTGAAATCAGTAAAGCATCATTATGCAAGTAAGTACTTCTTGTTGTAGCCTCCCACTGTTCAGAACTACAAATACTGTTCCCTATTGTAATCAAAAAAGGAGTGAGGAAATTTGAAGAGTTAGGATGGCCCAGAACCCAAAGAGATCCATCTGCCTCTGCCGTTCTGACTACTGTGATTATAGGTGAGCACCACCATGTCTGGCTGGGATTTTCTTTCCTCTCTCCCCACCCCGCCAAGATAAGGTTTCTCTGTGTAGTCCTAACTGTCCAGGAACTCGCTCTGTAGAACAGAAATCTGCCTGTCTCTGCCTCCCTGGGATTAAAGGCATGCACCACCATCTCCCAGCTAGTTTAAAAAGTGTCTTAATTTTTTTTTTAATTTTTATTTTATGTGCATTGGTGTGAAAGTGTCAGATCCCCTGGAACTGGAGTTACAGACAGTTGTGAGATGCCATTTGGGTGCTGAGAATTGAACCCAGGTCCTCCGGAAGAGCAGCCAGTGCTCTTAACCACTGAGTCATCTCTCCAGCTCCAAGGTTCTTAAATTTTTAAAATTTGTTTCTATTTTGTGTGTGTGCACGTATGGAGGTCAGGGACAGCTTTGGAAGGGAGTGTGTTCTCTTCACTTATCATGTGAGTCCTAGGAATGGAACTTAGGATATCAGGCATGGCAGCCTTTGCCCACTGAGCCATTTTACTGAGCTGGGCTTGGAATTTTCTTACATTAATAGTGAGGTACTTTAAAGATTACCATTTTAAACTGGGTGGTGGTGGTGGTGGTGGTGCACGCCTTTAATCCCAGCGTTTAGGAGGCAGAGGCAGAGGCAGAGGCAGATGGCTCTCTGTGAGTTCAAGGCCAGTCTGATCTGTGGAGAGAGTTTCAGGGCAGCTAGGGCTACACAGAGAAACCTTGTCTCGAAAAACAACAACAACCGAAAAGATTTTGTTTTCTAATATAGAGTATGAAGCATCTGGTAGGTGAAGATTGTCTCTTAGCAGTAATAATGGATGGGTATAGGCTTTGACCTTATGAGCTGCATATTCTAAGGCTATGATACATGTAAAAGTCTGTGATTAGAATGCAGCTTGTGCAGTGGTATTTATCCATGGGTTCAAGGTTACCACCACACACAGGATGTGGGTAGTTTGAGGATGGGGATTTGGTTCTATAGCTCACATAAAGTCTCGGATATGATTCTTTAACACCACATAAAATCACTCATGGTGGTGTTCAGCTATAACCCTAGCACTCAAAAAGTAAAGTCAGGAAGATCAGAATTTCAAGGTTATCCTCTGTTACATAGTGATTTTGAGACTCGTCTGAGTTTAAAAAAAAAAAAAGTTAGCAGTTTGTGTACCTGTGCATGCTCAGAGGTCAGAAGAGGGTGTTGAATCCTTCAGAGGTAGAGCTACCGGTGTTTTTGGAACACTCAGTTTGTTACATGGATGCTAGAATCTGAGTGCCATTCCTCATGAGTTCCCTGTAAGCACCCACCACAGCTGAACCATCTTTCCAGCCTGCTCATGGTAGGTTTAACAGAATTGGATGATTGCTCTATTTAATTGGGCATCAGAGCTACAATGTATTTAGTCTATTAAAGAAACAGACAGGATGACTTTGACTTTCACAAGCCTTCCCAGACTCTGGAGGTTTTCTGTTATTTTACCACACTAGATTGAAAAATTTCCTTAACTTTTATTTTTGGTTTTGCAGAAGAGTCTATGAATACATATTTTTTTCATTGCTTTGCTAGATTTTGACCAATTTCTTTTTAAATTTTGACCAATTTAAAAAGACATCCTCAGTGTCTTTTTAAAAAGTTTTAATTTTAACTGGGTGGTGGTGGTGCATGCCTTTAATTTCAGCATGCAGGAAGCAGAGGCAGGTGGTTCTCTGAGTTTGAGGCCAGCCTGGACTACAGAGTGAGTTACAGGACAGTCAGGGTGACACAGAGAAACCTGTCTTGAAAAACAAAATGAAGTTTTAAGTTTTATTATTTTAAATTATGTGTATACGTGTGTTTGTATGTGGGTATACACATATGTACAGGTACCTGCAGGGGCTTGAGGTACCGGATCATCTGGAGCTGGAGATATAGGTGGTGGTTGTGAACTGCCTGATGTGATGCTGGGAATGAACTTTGGTGCTGTGGGAGGGAGAGCAGTGCATGCTCTCTTAACCCCTTAGCCATCTTCCAGTCCCACCCTCAGTGTCTTTAGCTCAGTTTGCTCTCTCAGATCCTATACTGTGATAGAATAAATGGAAGCAAGGTTCATTTGTGTTTCATGTGCAAATCTCTCATTGATGTAAACTCTTCTGTTCACTGTGTGCTATAATGTCTGAGGACAGGCTGCCACAGTCAGTTATCTCCATCCACTATGTGGTACCCAGGGCTTGAGCTCAGGTCACCAGGCTTGCATTGGATGCTTTTACCTGATGACATTTGACTGTTCCCAGTCTTGCTATGTGCAGGCTGGCCTTGTACTTATATAGATGAGGCTGGCCTTGAATTTCTTGATCCTCCTGCTTCCACTCCTGAGTTCTGGGATAATAATCAGGTAGTCATGTGCTACCGTGCTCAGCTTCCTAATTTATAGTCTTTTGGGATATACCTTGAAACAGAATTTATTAGCTAGGTGGTGGAGGTGCACACCTTTAATCCCAGCACTTGGGAGGCAGAGGCAGACAGATCTCAGGGAGTTTGAGGCCAGCCTGGTCTATAGAGCAAGTTCCAGGACAGAGAAACCCCGTCTTGAAGAAAAATCCAAAGAAACAAAACAAAACAAAAAAGAAAGGAATGGAATTTATTAGTTTATTTTTGATAATGGGGTTAAAACCCAGATGAGCCACATCTGTAACCCAATAATTTTTTTATCCTTGTCTATCCATCTGTCCATTCATCTACTCATCCACTTATTTTTGGTTTCTCTGTGAAACAGTTCTGCCTGTCCTGGAAAGACCAGGCTGGCTTTGAACTCATAGAAATCCACCGCTTTTGCCTACTGAGGGCTGGGATTAAAGGCATATGCCACTGCAACCACCACCACACGGCTCTTTTAACATTTCGAATAATAACTTTATTATTGTTATTTTTGAGACAGTCTCACTGCGTAGTTCTGACTGGGCCAGAACCCACTATGTATACTAGGCTGGCTTCAACTTTGCAGAGATCTGTTTCTCTCTGCTTCCCTGCTACTACTCATGCCACATACACATAGCACTGACGATAGCAGTGAGCTAAGTAGAAGGTACAGCCAGCTAGATAGGGCCTCACAGTGTTTGAATTTGAAATTATATTCTGCTGCTAGAAAGGAAGAATGGTTTCCCGGGAGCTCCACGGGTCATTTTGAGTTGGTTTTCATCCAGTGTGTAGGTGTTTGTTCTGGACATTTCTGTGAGGCCAGCAGTGCTCTGACCTTTGTCACCCTGCACTGCTCAGCCCTTACCAAGCAGAAGGGCAGTGTTGCTGTGATGGTCTTGACCAGCCACATACCTTTAGCCCTACATACCTAATACTGACTCAATGTCACTGGAAGGCTCAGCCCAGTGGGAAGAGGATATGCCATAGCTCCTGCTTACTGCTACAGATGAAGTAAGCAGCAGTATTGATGGCTCTTGGCTCCATGTGGAGCTTTGTGGTATAGTAGGTCTCTGTTGAGCCTGCTTTGCTGTGATCAGGAGGGAGTTCAGCCATGCCACATGTTCCTGGACTGTGTATGTGTGTGTTTTTATGACTAGGTGATTTGCCCCATAATTGTTGTGAAATGGAAGATAATTTATAGTGAGTGTATCTACCTAAGGCAATAAGCCTGTTTAAAGGATTAGCTTGATGGCTTATGCAGGGCTTGCAGATCTATCCCTTCGGGGCTTTTGGGGCCAAGACAGGTTGAAAGAGGTCAAGGCACTAGCAGACCTTCTTGGGTACAGAGCACTAACTGCCAGTTAGTGTGGATCCTGGTGTGCACCTGATTACCATGTGAGATTGCTCCTCCTCCTGTGTCTGTGGCTGCATGTCTGGCTGGGCGACTGTGCCCTCTTTGAGGCCTTTACAGCAGTCTGTCTGTTAATTTGCTATAAAGTTTTCTGCCTTCCTCACCTTGTTCACCAGATAACCCTTTTCTTTACCATTTCTGTAGGTGACAAGGCTCTTGATGGCTACAGTAAAAAGAAGTATGTCTGCAAGTTGCTCTTCATCTTTCTCCTTGGTCATGACATTGACTTTGGACACATGGAAGCTGTGAATCTTCTGAGCTCAAACAGATACACAGAAAAGCAGATTGTGAGTATGTTGAGGGGCAAGGCCATGTGCCCTGTGTGCAGTTGGCAGACTCTCCTACCACTCTGTCCCATGTTGGGCACTAGCTATTTGTGCTTCTGGCCTGTGTTACTGCCTGGTGCTGGTACCTAGCAGCCATGTTCATTACAACTTAGTTCTTGGCTTTTTGGGAGCAGTGGTGCCAGGGATGGACTTTGATGGGGTGGCCTCCTTCCCCTGCAGTTCTCTGTTGGCTTAGACTGGTAGATTCTCTGTGCTCACACTCCATGTCTGCTGCCCACAGCCCTCATTGCCTTCTTTTCACAGGACCTTGGTAGTGAACACGGTGCCAACAGTGACTTTACTCCAGGCCTTTTGCATGACTGTGAAATAGATCTGTGCCCACAGGGGCAAGAAATAAAGCCACAGATGGTGCTGTCCCTTCCCTTTCCTCCTCTGCACCAGAATATGAGGGTCCCTGCTATGCAGGCTGCTAACAGTTGCTTAGGCTTGGTGTTTTAGCTCTGCATTCTTTTGTAGTAAGGTGGCTATTTGTGTTTCAATTAACAGCTTTCTTTTTTTGGTTAAAAATTTAACTTACAGAAATTTTAAAAAAGTAAGCCAAATGCCTTAACATTTTCGTTAAGAAAATAAGACTTCTGTGTTTTCAGGCTTCTCACCTTGTGACAGACAAGTGATATGAGACTGGGTTTGAACAGGTAGTGAGGTAACAATGGGGATAAACTTGAGAGAGGAGTGGACAGATATGCATATTTATTACTGACTGGTGCCAGGCTTGGTTCTTGCACTGACAGCCCCCTCCCATCCTGACCTGAGGATGATGTGGCTTCTGAACACAGATGTGTGAGCTACTGAGAAGGACATGAGGCTTGGGGAAGGACTGAGTGGTCTGGTTTCCTTGTGCCTCTGACTATGCACATATTTTAGTGGGAGTGCTGCATCAGGGCTGGATGGTAGCAAAAGTGTTGTTCACTTGTAGTACATTGTCCGAATGTGTACTATCTCCAGAGACAAGTCTCTGTGGCACCTACTGATGGTGCTTTAGGCTTTCTAGGCTTACTTATCTGGGCATTGTGTGTTAGGCATCTTGTCATAAGCTTTTTGTCCCTGCCTTCTGGGAATACAGGGCTACCTTTTCATCTCTGTATTGGTGAACTCGAACAGTGAACTGATCCGCTTGATTAACAATGCCATCAAGAACGACCTGGCCAGCCGCAACCCCACATTTATGGGCCTGGCCCTGCACTGCATTGCCAATGTGGGTAGTCGTGAGATGGCAGAGGCCTTCGCTGGAGAGATCCCCAAGATCCTCGTGGCAGGGTATGTATCTGGGTACTGTTGACAGCATTTTCTCCTAAACACACTCCACTATGTGCAGTGTGGGATGTCATGAAGCCCTAGTATAGAGCTGAGAGGCACTATCAGATTCTTTCCCTGAGATCACCATGACTTACAGCAGATCACTGAAGAAAGCCCTTCTTAGCTTGCCAGCCTAGAAAGGACTCTAGCTTTGTATGGACTACAGGGAGAAAGAAACAGAGTTGTTTGGCATAGCCCTGAGTCTGGTCCCTTCCCAGAAGCATTGGGGCAAAGGCCAAACCCTTGTATCTTGAGAATTCTGCATCATCTCTCCCCTCAGTTCACTTGGAGAGTTGTCAAATGGTGCCAAGGGGCTGCTCTGGAAGAGTTTGAAGCAGCTCTGGGCTGTTTTGGCTTCGGGATTGGCAGAGGCAAGGCTAGCTTCTGCCTGGTCATGTGCTTTATGCTGTTGCCTAGGCAATCCACAAACATAGTGGTTACATAGACAGGGTAGGATAGTTGTTAGTGAATTGATGAATAGAGTTTCAAGACCCCGGGCGCTGTGGTCACTGCCCTCTGCTCCCTATAAAGCTGAGTATATGTAGGGGGTCCCAGGGGTCAGAGCTAGCCTACAGTCTCTATTTAATCAGCTATCTGAGGGGAAATGGATGGGTCTGGCACTAAACAAATACTCAGAGCAGTTACCATTTTCATAGTGGAGGGCCTACATTTGTCATCTAGTAGGCAAAGGCCGAAGATGCTACTAAATATCCTATGTATGGCATAGAAACAAAGTGAAGAACAGCGAAGGCCTCTGTCGCTGTCGCTGTGCTGTGGTGTAGGAACTTTAAGCCAGCCTTGGCACCTCAACCCTGAGTAGTGTGAAGCTGAAGAGAATAGTCCTGTGGAAATGTAGCTGTAGACCACAAGAGATTGATGAAGACAAGCATTACAGAGCTGAGTGGCAGTGGGAACTCAAAGACTCATTACTGTAGAATGTAAGCAAAAATCATAGAAAACACCAGGGTACCTTAGGTAGGAGATCACAGTGAGGGTAGAGAAAGGAAGTTGGGCAGAATGCAAGTGTGAGCTGCTAGCAAGACCTCCCTGGCCTTCCTCCCTAGTAGTCATCATGGAGTCCTGTGGACAGGACACCTGCGTGTTGCCTGCGCTGCTCCATGAGGGCTTCTGGCCTGGATGTCTTGTTATGTTGCTGCCTTCTGGCATTGCCACAGAGCTGGTCCAATGGAGGAGGAAGTGCAGACTTCCTTCAATGAAAAACTCTGGAGAAACAGGCATGTTTCATGAATTACCCAAGAACACATGCAGAGTGACCACAAGGACCAATGCTGAGGAAAAGTTCTTTGCAGAAGACAGGTGGTGCCTCCCAGTTGGAGAAGGTTGGACTGTAGGGACAGTTCATAGGCACCCTGTAAGCAAGAGGTGGATCCCACTGAGCACTGGGTGATTCTGTGAATAGTGTTTATCCATTGTCATCTTTACAGGGTGCTGATTAGTGTGGCTCCTGGAGATGGGAGACCAGTGGATGTAGATGACATCATGATGGATTAGAATGTGCTGCTGAGGTGGGAGGAGGCATTGGTGCCCTAGGATATAGTAGAGGATCAGAGAGAACACCTTCAACAGGTGGGAGGTGCTCTGGGCTCAGTGGGTATATGAGGGTACTCTGTGTCCTTACCTCTGAGCTGGCAGGTGCTTGCTCCTTTTCTCTGAGCTTTCTGGGAACAAGGAGAGATGGTTTCCTGGTTCATCATCCTGGTTGATTGTGTAGAAACACATGGTTCTTGTTACATAGACCCTGCAGTTGCAGCCTATAGTGAGGGTACACGGCAGTGGCTTCCATGGGATTGATAGGAGGCCAGAGTGAGACATGGGTCTCTTCCCCCCATGGCATGAGTATCTAAAAGGACTTTCAGGCTAGGCTGCAGCTTAGTGGCAGGTATCTGGTTTCCATCCCCAGCACTACACATAAACCAACATTATTCAGAGAAGTAATTTTCTTCATTGGAGTAGTCCTGGGGGAGATTTAGAAGGTTTCCCTGTTGATTTTGTTTCATTTGGGAATAAAAAATCCAGTAACCAAGAGTTAGCTGAACTGGAGTCCATGGGCTCGGCTCTTCTCATCATAGCCACAGTTCCTACTTCAGTACTCCAGCTAGTTCTTACGGGGATTTCGGATGGCCTCCTCCAGTTAACTTGGTCATCCTGTTTTGTTTTTACTGCTCATTTGTTTGTTTTACTGTTTTGGGAACAGGGTCTCCAGTAAGTGGTTCTGTTGCCCTGGAACTTACAGAGATCCTTCTGCCTCTGCCTCCTGAGCTCTAGAATTAAAGACATGTCACTACACTTGCCTCTTCCCTACTTCTAGGCAGGGTCTGGTAGGGTGAAGGGGAGTCTCCAGAGCTCCTGTCTTCCACAGAGCAGAAAACAGTTGCCTCCCTGATTGGAGTCTGCAAACAACTATTGTTTCTGCCTCTGGGTGGCCTTGGAGAGAGTAGAGAGAAGACAGCTCTCCCTGATACCAGAGACTGCCTCAGGCCCTCATGCATGTGGCTGGTAGGCAGCAGCTGTGTGTAAGGTGTGTGTCAGGTGAGGAAGGGGTCATGACAGCTACATATAGATACTGATGTGGGGTTGCAGGCCTGGCCAGATCATGAATTTCCTTCCTCTTAAGACTTTCTTAGATTTGGGCATGGTGACATATACTTGTAATCTTTGCACTGGGAATCGTGAGTTGAGGTGAATGTAGGACACATGACTACACACTGCATCACACAACAGCAAAATCCAAAGCAGAAGAAAGAGACCACCACCCCTTCCTCACCAGAACAACTTGAGCCTGCTTCCTCAGTGTAGTGGGGAGCAGGGTACATTTTGTAGAAACCACTCTGGTGTTTCAGGTCTCCAATCTGTTCCTGCTATAATGAATTGGGGGAGGGAGGAAGTCCTATGGTTCAGAGAGGAACATCATAGACATGGCTGGCCTCCATAGTCCATCTTGTATTCAGTGTCCAGGAGGGGATGCGAGTTGAAGCCCTTAGAGGCCAAAGAGCAAACAGTGCAGGCTTTTGCCTGTGGGCTGGTGTCCTGCTTGAACCTTGTCCTTTAGAGTAACCTGTGTAGGGCTGGCATTTGAGCTGTGCAGGCCTTCTTGACCTGCACTGGTCTCCTGATTATTCTGTTGTGCTCTCTACTCAGCTCCATTCTCTGCTTGGCTTAGCTTCTGGTATCTTGAGAGGCCACCATTCTCCTGAGTGACTGATGTCTGTTTTCCAGAGATACCATGGATAGTGTGAAGCAGAGTGCAGCCCTGTGCTTGTTGCGTCTGTACAGGACATCACCTGACCTAGTTCCTATGGGTGACTGGACATCCCGAGTGGTACACCTCCTCAATGATCAGCACTTGGTAAGTGCATTCCATTCCACTCTTACCCACCCAGTCACCTTTTCAGAAGAATGTTGTAGAAGTGGCCCTTTGAGACTCTCAGAATGATGAAAGTGGTGCACTGTCTCCTCTGCAACTAGGTACACAGGCTGCCAGCATCTCTCTGCAGCAAGGCATTCCCCAGGGGTTCCATCGATGCAGAGTAATTCTCACTCAGCACCTATGTCCTCATAAGCTGCTTGTGTGGGGCTGTGATGGGTGTTCCACCTCTTGGCTAAGCTTCAATGTACAAGTCTTACTAAATTACCCATTTTATAGACAAGGACTGGAGGTCTGTGATGGTGACTATGGCTGCTCAGCTAGGTGGGAAACAGCTGTGGGTCATGGCCTCTGTTGCTTGCACTGCTGAGCAAGTGAGTCTGATGACCTGGTTGGGATCAGGCAAGTGTGATTTCTAGTTAATCAACCCCCCCCCCAAAAAAAAATCTGATGTGAAAGTTAAAGATTGTTACATCAACATGCAGAAGACAGTACATGGGGCTTGCATTGGCATTTTATCACTGTGAAATAGCAGCCATTCAAGCTGTCCCTGTGTTACGACTTCTTGTGCTTGTTAAGATAGGAGTTGGAGTAGATCTTGGAGTGCAGAGAAGCTCACCTGGAGGTGAGCAGTGCTGCCTTGTGAGGGGCCCTGAACACTGGTGCAGACAGTTTAGACCCTGCAAGTTTGAGTACCACCTGGGGGTCAGAAGATGTTGCTGGAGGGCATCAGCTGTGTCAGATAAATGGTAGTTCATCATCAACAGTCTTTGTAAATTGTAAATAGTGGGAATTTACCAGGTTTTTGGTTTTTTTTTTTTTTTTTTTGATTTTGATTTTTCAAGACAGGGTTTCTCTGTGTAACAACCCTAGCTATCCTGGAACTAGCTCTGTATATCAGGCTGATCTTGAACTCACAGAGATCCACCTGCCTCCCAAGTGCTGGAATTAAAGGCATGGGCCACCACTGCCCAGCTGTTTTTGTTTTTGTTTTTGTTTTTTTTTTTTTGAGGCACGGTTTCTCGTAGCCTTGGCTGTCCTGGCACTCTCTCAGACTGGCTTGGAACACACAGAGGAGATACGCCTGCCTCTGTCACCTGAGTGCTGGGATTAAAGGTGTGCACCACCACTGCTGGGCAGGAATTTCCCAGTTTTATAGCTGAGGAAACCGAGGCCCAGAAAAATTAAGATTCTCATAGCCATAATGTTCCAGACTTGAATCATGTTTTCAGAGGCTGTAAGAGTCAGGTGTCATGCAAATGTGCAGGGGAGACAGCTTTGAGGAGCAACTCAGCACCTTTTGTGCATAGTTTTGTTTGTCCTGCAGTCACCTTGTCGTGGCCATCAAGTCATTTCCAGGTAATAAGGCTGGGTTTTTGGTGCCAGGGTATTGCCTCTCTTTGGATACTGATTCTTTGACCCCAGTTTCTTGATTGCCTTTGGTTTTTCATACACACATTATTTTGCTAGCATCTTGGTTTGTGACAGAAACTCAGTTCAAAGTAAAGAAGGTCAGAACATCATATCCAGACCCTCAGGCCTTCCTCAGCTTTGTGGCATGCTGTCCTTTCAGCTGCTCCAAACCCACATCCTGCTTTGCCACTGTAGAAGGCTTGAGACACTGCTTTCCTAGCCTCAAGCTTAGGGACTCTATTAAGATGTCTGATGCCTCTTTACAGTGAACTTGGTGGCCTCTTCTGAGAACAGTGTATAATCCCAAGGTCGTGGTCTTCAGATGAAATCAGGAATGCATGAGGCCGTCAGTAGAGGGATACACTTGTGGGGAGGCAGGGGTCAGCCCTGATAAGGGTGATGATGTGGAGCAGATGACTTAGAACTATGAGGACTGAACTGCCATCTGGGGAAGGGATTTGGAGAGGGAGCAAAAGGCCAGGGGATACTTTGGGACCATGTGTTAGCATATGGCAGTGTGTTTCTTTGTTTTTAGCTTACTGTCAGACCACAGAAGAGCAAACCATGATGTGGAGAGAGACAGTCAGTGGCCAATAGTTAGGTATTTGCACATACTATATTTTCTTGTGAATTTGGCCTATTCCAAATGTTAGGAACTGGGCAGTGCCCGATAGAGTTTACTTTTATTTTGAACCAGCGTCTTACTTACTATATACTATGGGCTGGCCTTGAAGTAACATTTCTTCCTCTTCCTCTGAAGTACTGTGATTACAGATGTGCTATATTGCCAGGCTAGAGATTTCTTAACCAAAATCTTTCAAGAGATAATGTATTGGAAACAGCTATTTATTATCCTGGGACAGTGGTAGATCTAAGGCCTTGTGGGAAACTACCATGCTGCACTAGGGTTTCAGCAGTGGGGACTCTGCAAGGGTGCAGTTTCCAGCCCTGGGTCTGAGACCCATCAGGTGAAGACACAGCAGGATTGTGAAGATTCAAATAGTTGGAAGGTTCTGTCTCTCTGCAGTGGACAGAGTGACTTAAATTAAAGCAACTAGAGCAGATGGGGACAGAGGTACACAGGTGACAAACAGAATAAGACTCACAGGTTTCTAGTTGCAGCCTAGTACTGCTTCACCTGCAAGTACCTGGGCCAAGCTGGACTAGATTTCCAGTTTCCAGAGAGAAGGTGGACTCAGACGGAACCAGTATACCCTGCCTCAGTTTGCAAACCTCATGAGTTAGTTAGGGCAGGCCTGGGGCTCAGGGGCTGTGTACCATAGATTGTACTCTATATGTACTGTCACCTGTGGTGCCTGTGGGTCTCCTGATTGGAGTCTTTGTCTTTCAGGGTGTAGTAACTGCTGCAACTAGCCTCATCACCACACTGGCCCAGAAGAATCCTGAGGAGTTCAAGACCTCTGTCTCTCTAGCCGTCTCTCGACTGAGCAGAGTAAGTCCATGGTGGGGACAGACAGCAGGGCAGGTTTGATCTTCATTGCTAACTGAAGTATTAGTTCACATTTTAGACTGAAGGGTATCTGGCCCTCTTGGTCAATTTCAGAATAAAAATTGCCTCTGTCAGTCCTTGATCTTTCTCTGTTAGTTGAGAAGCACCCTGCCCTGTCCGGTGTGCACATTGATGGGCAGTTGCCAGTGCGAAACATTCTCCTGAAGGAGACTGAACCTGTTATGTTAGCTAGTAAACTCCCTACTACCTTCACTAGCTAGGCCTGGCTCTGGCTTTGTGTCTTGGATTTTGTCAGTGGATCTGTATGGCATGTTTTTGTTTGTTTGTTTGTTTGTTTGTTTGTATGTGTCTGTCTGGCAGCCTTGATTGTGAACCCCTCACTTTTGTTTGGAATGGCTGTTATTACTTTTCTGATCCTGCAGAGAAGTGGCTATTTGATGGACTGCAGTGTAGTCATCCCTGTTCTCTCAAGCCTTTTGTTACCTTCTGCTCGGAGACAGTCATTAGTGACTGACTGTGAGAAGCTCAGTGTGTTTCATGGTCTATGTGTGTGAAGTGTTGGAAGTAGTGGGGTGGCATTTCTCAAGCTGTAGGGGTGTTCAGTAGCTTCTCCAGTAGTTGCTGTGGTACCTACAGCAATTTGGCTGGTTCCTCTGCTTTGGTCTTGCCTGAGGGTGCTCATACTGACCTCTTGGACTTGTGTTTTGTTGTGATTGGGCCTGGGAGTCATTAAGGCTGGAAAGTTTTCATGTGGATTGGCAATGTTATCTGCATTTGGACTGGAACATACAGCTTGCCAACACTTATCCTTTGTTGTTCTTCAAAAGTAGTGGGTGTATATGGCATTCCCTAATATGTGTGTAGAAGTTGTTGTAACATGCTAGTGGGCTTTCTTGTTGCTTTGAGACAGGCTCTCGCTGTTTAGCTCAGACTGGCCTTGAACTGACAATTGGTCCTCCATGGCTAGGTATATTACCATGTCACTGTTTTGCAGAGTTCTCTGGTTAGAGACTTTTAAGTTGCTGAGCCTTCTCTGGTCAGCATGTTAAATCCTGTTTGTGAAGCTGACTGCTCTAAGGCCACGTCTAGAGGGCAAAGCTGGCACTGTAGAGATGTGAGGGACCCAATATCCTGGACCACACTGGAGAACCTGCTACTCTTCCAGCTCTACTTCCTTCTCTCCCCACATTGCTTTCTGGAACTTTGCCAGTCTGTGGTCTCACAAATCATCTGTGTACCTGGTTCCTACCCACAAAGTCCTATGGGGCACTTGTCTTTGCAAACAAGGTATCTCTGTAGTCTTTTGTAGCTCTTTAAATGTTAAGATTTTTAAAGATACAGTATCAATTTTAAAAGATTGTCTTTTTTTTTTTTTTTAAACCTTCTGGTTAACATTTTTATTGTAGTATTTCCTTTTAAAATTTACCCAAGACAAAAAAGAAAACAAAGACAGTGGCCCTGGAAGGAACACACAATTTGTTTTAGTTTACAGCACAGAGATCCTTTTCTTAAGGGGAATTGTGCTCTTGGTTTCAGCATGGCATCCACCTGCTACTGGCCTTAGTCCCGGGTCTTGAGGAAGCTCTCCCAGGACCCTGTTGCCACAGCCATGCCATCATCAGTCATCCCCCAAGTGCCTTATATTAGAACGACAGCTCTGTTCTATGTTTAAAATGCTATTCTCAGTGATTGCTTAAAATTTTTACTTTTTTTGTGTGTGTGTATGTGAGGTTCAGGGGATTGAATCGAGTATCTTATGTACCTAGGTCACCACCACTCCACTGCTAAGTCGTATCAATAGTTTAGTGAAACACAAAAATTAAAAGATCCAGAGACTGATATTGGGGTTCAAGCTTCAAGCTGAAGATCAGAGAAGGAAAGTAGTCAGCCAGTAGCTCTTACCTCTACCTCAGCTCAGACCAAAGGGGCGACCCTCAAGCTGCTCCTCAGATTCACTCAGACTGCTATGCTCTCCTCAATGTGGCTAGAGACTAATCCTGAGACTGTATACCTCTACCTTTTATACCTCTCAAATCCTGTGATTAAAGGTGTGAGTTCTGATTTACTCTCTGGTAGCTCAGGGTGGTCTTGGACTCAAAGATCCATCTGCCTTTCTCCTGAGTCCTGGGATTCTGACTGACTTCCATAGCTAACTAGTGTGGCTGGCTTTGCTTTCTATGCTCTTAGGCAAGCATTAGTAAATCATAAATAATATATTACCACAGTCTAGAATTTATACTTCTATTATATGATATTATGCAATTGATTAAAAATTATTTTGGGGGCCAGGTTTGGTGGCACCTGCCTTTAATCCCAGCACTTGGGAGGCAGAGGCAGGTGGATCTCTGTGAGTTTGAGGCTAGCCAGGGCTACAGAGTGAGAGTCTGTCTCAAAAATAAAATAAAAAATGTAGTGGGGTAGAGTAAACAAAATAAAAATTTTAGTGTTGTGTAATACACAAAAAATGTGCCATTCTGACTTTAAAATGTACAGTTTATTGGTGTTAAGTAGATCCATAAGCTATGTATATTGCTATAACTTTGTTTTTTTAATGTGTATTTATTTTCGTGCACAAATATGAGCATACATGTCATAGCGTGCATGTGGAGGTCAGAGGTTAGCTTATGGGTGTCAGTTCTCCCCTTCCACATGAGTCCCAGGGATCAAACTCAGGTCATTAGGTTTAACTGTAAGCACCTTTACTCCTTGAGCCATCTCAGTGGCCCTCTATTTCACTCTGTAAACTTGAAACTGTTCTCATTAAACACTGATACCCGACCTGTCCCTTGCCAGCCTTTGGTTCCTTCTACATAACTGTCTCTGGCTTTGACAATGCTTACTACTTATGAAAGTAGAATCACATAATATTGTTTCATTTAACATAATGCCTTTAGGGTCCACCTGTGTTGCTAAACTTCTCAGTATTTTCTTCCTTCCTAGGCCTGAATAATCTTTACTGATTAAGATTTGTGTGTGTACATGTACATGTATGTGCATACTGCTCACAGGAGATATAGAGACAGAGATATAGATAGAGGAGGGAGAGGGGAGGGAGATAAAGAGAGATATAGAGGTAGGTAGAGAGAAGGAGGAAGGGAAAGGGGGGGGGGAGAGAGAGAGAGGAGCTGGAGTTGCAGGCAGTTGTGAGCTGCCCAGCATGGGTCTTGGAAACTGAACTAAGGTCCTCTGGAATAGCAGTATGTCCTCTTAACCAATAACCATGTCTTCAGCTCTTCTGTCTCATAGGTATTTTACTAACTCCTCAGCCTTGGGCTGCTTGGATGCTGGACTACTTCAGTATTTTGACTGCTGTGGATAGTGCTGTTGTAAATGTGGCTCTGCAAATGTCCCCTATGTGCTGCTTTTTATTTTGGGAGTAGGATTGCTGGATTGTATGCTAATTTTAATTTTTTAAAGGAACTGACACACTGTTTGCTTGTCACCTCTACCATTTTACATCCTCATCAATGGTATAAAATGTATCTACATTCTCACCAATGTTTGTGTCTTTTAGTATTATGTGTGTGTGTGTGTATTATGACTCATGAGGAGACCAGAGGATAACTTTTAGGAGTTAGCTCTTCTATTTTTTTAGGTATGTCTGTTTGCATGTGGGTATGTACATGTGAGTGCAGAGACATCAGATCCCTTAAAGATGGAGTTATAGGTAGTTGTAAGCTGCCTGATGTGGGTACTGGTAACTGAACTTGGGCCTCTAGAAGAAACAGAGCCATCTCTCCTCCTTCTCTTTCTTCCTTTCTTCCTTCCTTCCTTTTCCTTCCTTCCTTCCTCCCTCCCTCCCTCCCTCCCTCCCTCCCTCCCTCCCTCCCTCCTTCCTTCCTTCCTTCCTTCCTTCCTTAATATTTTTCAAGACAGGGTTTCTCTTTGTAGCTTTGTGGATCAGGTTGGCCTTGAAATCACAGAGATCTACCTGTCTCTGTCTTCCAAGTGCTGGGATCAAAGGCGTGTGCCACCAACACCCGGTTCTTTCCTTCCATCTTTACATGGGTTCCAGGGATTGATCTCAGGTTGTCAGGCTTGTGAGACAAATGCTTTTACCCACTGAGCCATTTTGGTGCACCTTCCCAATTCCCCCTTTTTTGGGATAAGGTCTTGCTCTGTAGCTCAGGCTGGTCTTGCAGATCCTCTTCCCCCTCCTGAATGCTGGGATTATAGGTGTGTATCACCATGCTACTATGCTGGCTTGTTTTTTTTTTTTTGTCATTTCTTCACAGGTGTGGGGTGTGTCCTATGATCTTGATTTGCATTTTTCTAATGATGAAGTTGGGTGTCTTTTCATTGCTTATTGTCCATGTGTTCTTTTCATCTGCTGACGTTGCAAGTTTCAGGGTTTTCTCCCCACCCTGGGAGGCAGTGTTGGGACTGAACCTATGACCTTAATCTATGGCCTGAGTTTAGGCAGTTTTTCTATCACTGAGCTATGTCTCTAGCCTACTCTCTATTTTAGCTTTAGGGACCATATCTGAGGTATTCTCCATTTACTGTACTAATTCCTCTGAAAGTATTCACTTTTGATTTTCTTGGTCTTTTCTATTGTGTTTTCCTATTTTGCTCCCGTTTATGTCTTTGTTGTCTTATTTCTTCCTAAATATTCAAGAGTTTTCTTTGCCTTTCTGCTGTAAATAAATGCATTTAAAGCTTCAGATGTCACTCTGAGTGATATAGCTGGAAAATACATATTGGAAAACCAGATCATATTGGGCCTGTCTCTGCATTTCTTAGAGGGTGGTGTGGGGCTTGTTTTTGCCTGGCTTGGTTGCTTGCTATCTACTTCTTGCCCTGTTTAGTCCTTTCCTGACTCTCCATGAGGATGACCTTTCTAGAACCTGCTCACATGGCTAAAGGGTCACACAGGTGCACTTTTAGAGAGGGAGCAACTCTTTGAATGAGAGGTAACAAGCAGCCATGCATGGTGGTACAGGCCTTTAATTTCCAGTGAGTGGACCTTTGTGAGTTTGAGGCCAGCCTGGTCTACAAAGTAAGTTACAGGGCAGCCAGGATTGTTGCACGAGAAACCCTATCTTCAAAACAATAACAACAACAACAAGGTACAAGAGGTAGAGAGGACACAGAGCTGACTTTGGAAATGGCTGTTGTCACAGCTGGGCTGGGGGCCATATTGGATTAGGAGGTGGAGATTGTAAGTAGAGCAAGTGCTGTCTGGCTCAGCAAACTCACAGCATGGCTCAGGCTTGGGTGCTGTGGGATGTGGAGCAGAACATTAGCTTCTTTGGTTGTTGCTTCCCAGCCCACAAAGGAAAGAATGATTTCCTTCTTCAGGTGTCAGTGTTTGTACCTCAGGGAACCGGAGCCCTTGTGACAGCCTTTGGAGCTGTCCTCTGAAAGGGGTGCACCAACCCTTTCAGTATGAGCTGATGTGGCCATGCCAGCTTCTCTTCAAGGGGAGACAGGAAACAGTATTAAAAAAAAGCTAACACTGCAAACTATTATTCTCAGAAGGCACGGTCCAGGGAACCAATGTGACTCTTCTAAGGGTTCCCCAGGGAATCTCCTGAGGACAGAAGCTCTTACCCACTCACCTGTTTTACAGATTGTGACATCCGCATCAACAGATCTTCAGGATTATACTTACTATTTTGTCCCAGCTCCTTGGCTGTCAGTCAAACTTCTGAGACTGCTGCAATGCTACCCACCCCCAGGTAATGTTCCCTGCAGCCCTTCTAGGTGTTTCCTAAAGCACCTCCACCTCCAGATAACATTCACCATGTCCCCTTTCTTGATATTCCCTGCAGTCCCCTACTCCATAGACACAGTCTCAGTTCACCCCAGATTGTTCATGAGGAAGAATTTAATTCCTTAGTTGATCAAAATCTTGCTTACTAGATTTAAAAGTTTATTAGGTGCTTCAGAGAGAGCTCAAGATAGTGAAGTGTTGGCATGGAAGACAGAAAGACTTGAGTTTAATTTAAAGCACCACCATGAAAGCCAAGCTTAGTGGTACATGCTTATAATTCTAGTATCAGGGAGACAGACAGGAGGATCTAGTGTAAGCTGCTGGCAAAACTCATGTCCCAGTGAAAGACCATATCTCAAAAATGTGGATGGCTCCCGAGGAATGGAGCCTGAGGCTGACCCCTCCCACATGCAGATATAGCCACATACAACTACTTGAGGATCATAAAATTTACTGGGAGTCTGGGTTCTATTCTGTCCTCTTCCTCCTCCTCTTCTTTTTTGCAATAGGTTCTTCCCCCCCCCCCCCCCCCCAAGATAGGATTTCTTGCTGTCTTGGAACTGGCTTTGTAGACCAGGCTGGCTGGAACTCACAGAGATCCTTCTACCTCTGCCTCCTGAATGCTGGGATTAAAGGGGTATGTGTATGTGCTACTACCCCAGCTGCAATAGGTTCTTATTGAACCACCCAGACTGTACTGGAATTCACTGTAATTTTCCTGCCTCAGCCTTCTAAGTGCTGGGATAGCCACCTCCTACCACTTGGCTCCTACCACTCTGTGTGTGTCTGTATTATGGGTGCATGTGTCACAACATGCATGTGGAGGTCAGAGGACAACTTGTGGGAGTTGGTTCTCTCTTTCCACATGTAGTTCTGAGGTTTGAGCTCAGATCATTCGGCTTGATGACAAATGCCTTTATCCACTAAGCCATCTCACTGGCCATATTTTTGTTCTTATGTAACTTAGTCTGGTCTTGAGCTTACCATATACTCTTGACTCCTAATCCTCCTGCCTCTGCCTTCTAAGTGCTCTAATAAAGGTGTGTGCCACCATGGCTGGCTTTAGTTTTTACATATTGTCTTTTCCTTCTGCTTTGAAGGAAATTAAATAAAAAAATTTCTTTCTCTTTATGTTGTTGTATATTTCCACTATTTCTGTAGGTAATAACAGAAAAAAGTCTCCTTGCTCTCTGAAGCTTCTTAGATGCTTTGCCCATAATTCTTGGGTTTTATGACTAACATGCTCTTGTCTCAGTGGAAGTCCTTGGTGTCATCAGAATCAGAAGCAGGTGTGGCTACCACAGCTGCTACATCTCCACCCCATGTTTATGGACACTGGAACAGGGAGCTGTCCCATTCAATTTACAAATGTTCCCAATCATATCTGCAGCTGGGAATAACTGTCAAAGACCTCTATAGGACAGTGTAGGAGGCCTGTTGCCCAGGTATGGGTAAGGCTGGTAGGGTGATTGCCTAGAAGCCCAGCCAACAGTTTTGTCTTGCCCAGAAGACCCTGCGGTGCGTGGCCGTCTGACTGAGTGCTTGGAGACCATCCTGAACAAGGCCCAGGAACCACCCAAGTCTAAGAAGGTCCAACACTCAAATGCCAAGAATGCTGTGCTGTTTGAGGCCATCAGCCTTATCATCCATCATGACAGGTGAGCCACTCTTGGCAGCATGTCACTCTCAGAGATAGCAGGTGGAGGCTGGCACTTGGTGTCACTTGTTTGTGCAGATGCTGACAGATGACTTCCCCAATAGGCTTGGCCTGTGTCAGGTAAGACCACTGACTCTTTGAGCTTCTCTAGCTCATGTACCCTCTCTGGCCCCAGGACGTCCTCTCTGGCTGTGGCATCTTCCCCTAGAGCTGCTTGTGTGTCCTTGTCACCAAGAGGTTTCTCTGAAAGGAAGGAACATCCGTGTGATGTTAGCTTTGCTACTCAGGGAGGCACATTGCAGTATTCTGGGGTTTCCTGGGGCAATGATAGTAATGACTCCCAGCTCCTGTAGAGGGCCATGGCTGGGTCACAGGCAGTGGTTGTCATATGTAGCACAGGCCTGTTTCTGGTCTTAGGATTATCCTGGTGGTATGACCTTGTATATGCCTGTGGCACAGTGCTCTGGGTCTAGGCCAGAGGCATGAGGCTCAAGGGCAGGGCTGTAGAAAACAGTAACCCTAGTCTGCTTGGAACCAGCTATTTTTGCTACATAATTTAGTTGAATGTTACTGTGACAGAAACAGTCTGTCAAACTGGAGCAGGGTTGAGAATGAACTGTTAAAAACAAAACTTGCAGTGTGAGGGAGATCTTATTTGTCCTTAAGGAATTTATATAAGAAAGAATTGTGACGGTTTATTCTGAGTTCCCCATTAGCTCTCACCACTTACTGTCTGACCTATCCTGGTCCAATTTCCTGTATAGCTCTGCTTCATGCTGGCTGCTGTCCAAATCACTTTTCTGGACACAACTTGAAGAAAATAAAGCCCAAGCCTTGCTCTACCAGAGCTTTCTGGAGTCTACTCGGGAGTAGCAGAGATCCTGGAGACTCACTAGAAAGCCAGCCCTTCTTCACTGCAGCTCCTCCTCATTGTAGCCATCTTTACAGCAACCCTTGTTTGTGCCCCTTCCTCACTCCCACTTCTCACTGCACGTTTCCCTCTACTACCTCCTTACTGTGCCTCCTCCTCACCTCATCTCCTTACTGTGCCCTCTTTCTTTTTCTAGCCCCCAACCCTCCCTGACTATATTCCCCTCCTCACCATGTCCCCTGTGCCTTGCAGTGAACCAAACTTACTCGTCCGTGCCTGCAACCAGCTGGGCCAGTTCCTGCAGCACCGGGAGACAAACCTGCGATACCTAGCTCTGGAGAGCATGTGCACATTGGCCAGCTCTGAGTTCTCTCACGAGGCCGTAAAGACCCACATTGAGACTGTCATCAATGCCTTGAAGGTGTGTTCCCTGTTGGTAATGTGTGGATGCCAGAAGATTAGGAGGTGCCTCCTGAGTTCCTTCAAGCTGTTTGGTTTGGACCCTAGGGTGTTTGCTTGGCTCCTATCACTTGCTGACTTGTGGGGTAGATGAGAAAGTTATCTATCTTCCTGCAGGGAAGCCCTGGTATTCCCATGGACACAACACCCAGGAACAGAGTTCTAGCCAAGTGCATTTATCTGAATTTGTTTCCCTTGTGACAGTATTGTCCCATGGGATAAATTCATGTGACACCTGCCTACAATCCAAGATAGTTCAGCAAACTTAAGTAGTTTTCTTTGGTAGACATATGAAATATTTTGAACTTATCTCCAGGAAACAACCTTTTATAAAGCAAAATACTTTGTCAAGGATTTTAGATTTTTTTTTTTTTTTTTTTTTTAAGGATTAAACTTCCAGAATTTAAAGAGCCTAGCTGAGGTTACCTGTCCTCATACCTGCTTTTGAGTGTGTAAAACATTGCTGGTGTACTTCTGTGGCTCAGCACACAATGTCCACTGTACTTGCTTGTTAGGCTAGTTCATTAGGGAACTTTGGGTGCAGACCCTTCATTTTGGTAAGTCTTAAGCTGCAGTGAAGCAGGTCTAGCCCTGATCTCTATTTTTGTATAACTCAGTAGGCATTTGTTACCTGTCTTGAACATGAGATTGCATTCTTTCTAGTCCTGATTGGTGTCTGTTCTTGTTATTATCTGTGATCACAAAGACAGCTCTCATCTGAAGCTGCTCTAACCCTTGTTAGGTACCCGTGTCCTGCCTTGGTCCCTCTGCACTGTTCTCTACATCTGCAGGGGCCAGAGAGAGAGATAGTTATACCACCTTTCTCAAGCACTGAGTGTAGTAGGGTTTCTGGAATCTCTTTCCCATGCCACCTGGAGAGGGGCCCAAGGACATGCCTCGGAACCAGCTCCCCGGCAACACGGAAGCTGCTGGCCTGTGCCCACACAATGGAGAGGCCTTAGTGACCACCTGCTCATTAGGCCTGAGTGTAGTCCTCAGAAGAGCTAGTCAGGGAGGAGGGAGAGTGGACAGAGATAGAACTGGATTATCTTGATTGGACTAAGTATGAGGGGGAAGGCAATGAGTTGTGTGTGGGTTCCAAGTGGCCTAAGTTGTTGGGTCCCATATATTGATAGTAAGGCCTAGTAAGAGATTTGGAGATAGGGGAGCACCCCGCCTGATGGGTACAGTGCTGTAGGGTACCCCAAAACAGCTCTTATGGAATAAATAGATGCTAGCTCATGGACTCCCGTATAGCAGTGGATAGGCACTGTCCAACCTGTCCACCACTTTGTAGAAGTGGCTCTGACTCTGCCTTGTTTTCCTAGACTGAGCGAGACGTGAGTGTGCGGCAGCGGGCAGTGGACCTGCTCTACGCCATGTGTGACCGCAGCAATGCCCAGCAAATTGTGGCTGAAATGCTGAGTTACCTAGAGACGGCTGACTATTCCATCCGAGAGGAAATTGTGAGTCCTGCAGCCTGAGGGCTGCCCAAGCTGCTCCTTACTGTGGACATGAGTTCCAATGGATAATTCCTACATAGTTTTCAGTGCCTGGCAGGCTTGCATGAGTGTCTATGAGACACTAGATAAAGGATTCCTTGGCATCAGCTTCCTTGTCTCTCTGGCCTTCCAATGTAGATATTTGACAGTGCAGGGTGTAGTCATCTGTGCCAGGCAAGCATGAGCTGATTTGTGTGTGTGTGTGTGTGGGGGGGGCATTCTCAAAGCTATTAAGAAAAATAAAATTATGAAATTCACAGGTAAATGGATGGAGCTAGAAAAACCCCACTAACCGTTCATTAGTTGATGGACAAGTATCTCTAGTAGTAGAATATAGAGTCTCTTGGGTATATGCCCAAGAGTGCTATAGCTGATCTTGTTTTTTTTTTTTTTTTTTTTTTTTTTTTTTTTGAGGCATGCCTTCTTTATGTAGCCCTGACTATCCTGAAATTCTGTGTAAACCAGGCTGGCCTTGAACTCACGGAGATCCACCTGTGTGCCTCACAAGTGCTTGGATTGAAGGTTTTGCACCACTACACCTGGCTTGTATAGCTGGGTTTTGAGATATATCTATTCCCAGTTTCCTGAGGTTCTGAGGAACTGCCACACTGATTTCTTAGTGGCAATCTAAGTTTGCATTCCCACCAGCAAAGAATAAATGTTCCCCTTTTCCTGAATCCTTGCCAGGACAGCCTATCATTTGTTTGATTGATCTTGGACATTGTGACTTGGGTAAGATGAAATCTCACAGTATTTTCTGGATGGCTAAGGATATTGAGCATTTCAAAGCCATTTATGTTTCATCTCTTGAAAACTGTTTGTTTAGTTCTGTATCCCATTTTTAAATTGGGTTTTTTTTCTAATGTTCATTTTTCATTCTTTATGTTTTAGATACACTGTCAGATGTGTAATTGTTAAAGAGCTTTTCCCATTCTGTAGGTTGTGCTTTGCTGGAATGATGGTGTCCTTGCCATACAGAAGCTTTAAGCTTCATTAGGCTCCATTTATTAATTGTTGGTTTTAATGTCTATGCTGTCAGTGTGAAGAGACACCATGACCAAGGCAATTTTTGAAGTAAAAGCATTTGATTAGGTGCTTACCTACAGTTCAGAGAGTTAGCCCATGAACATCATGGTGGGGAGTATGGTGGCAGGTAGACAGGCATGGCTGCTGGGATAGTAACTTATATGGCTTGCAAGTTGCAGCCAGACTGGGCCTGGTATGGGCTTTTAAAACCTCACAGCCCACCCCCAGTGATACACCTCTTCCAACAAGGCCACACCCACTCCAAGGCTTTCCCAAATAGTTTCACTAACTGGAGACCATGCATAGGCTCATTCAAATCACCATACTTTAGAAGTTGTTATGGAGTCAGGGAGGTAAGATGATGCAGCGTTGGGGTGTGGCTGACCTCAGCAGGTTTACTTGAGTGTTAGCATCTTGTTCCCCCTTGTTAAACTGTTGTGTCCCCAAAGTTGACCAGCTCTCCTCACCTGAGTCAGCTGCTCTCCACTCTCTGGGCCTCTAAAGATCTGCTGAAAGTTTCCTGTCCACCCCAAGCTTTACGTGCTTCTGCAACCTGGCATAGACTGTGTGCCAGCCTATTCTTAAGTGTGTTCAGTAGCTTTGGTAGCATTTGCCTGAGGGCCCTGTATTCTCTGCAGGTGCTGAAGGTGGCCATCCTAGCTGAGAAGTATGCAGTGGACTACACTTGGTATGTGGACACTATCCTCAACCTCATCCGCATCGCAGGCGACTATGTGAGCGAAGAGGTGTGGTACCGTGTCATCCAGATTGTCATCAACCGTGATGATGTGCAGGGTTATGCTGCCAAGACTGTTTTTGAGGTATGGTGGGGAAGGGTGTGCATCCTCACTAGGTACAATGGTGTCTAAGCTTGAGGGGACAGAGATGGGCCTCAGATGTTGCTTCTCCCCCTTTCTTGGTCCTGGTTGTGGTCATGCCCTTCTTGAACTAATGCCCCCCATCAAGCTGCAGTTTCCTATCACCCTAATCTCCAAAACCATATTAGGGCTGATGGGGCTGTTGAGCGACCTATTATCTTTTGTGTATGAGGGACATCATATATCTGCTGTATCCCAGGAGTCTCTAGGGACAGTCACTGGTCTTGCTGCCGGGCTCTCTGCTGTTGGCATTTGTAGCCAGCGTAGGAAGGCAGGGTCTGCCAAGGCTTTGCGGGGAAGCTGTCACTGACTTCAAAATATAAGGAAGGGGTCAGCTATCTTTGCTGTGGCTTTACTTCGTGGCAGCTAGCTCTTCTGTGGCCTAGTTCCTGGTGTTTCCTGTTCCACAGGCATTACAGGCTCCAGCGTGTCATGAGAACTTGGTCAAAGTGGGCGGCTACATCTTGGGGGAGTTTGGAAACTTGATAGCTGGGGACCCACGATCCAGGTAAAAGATCCCAGGGAACCAGGGGTATGTACTGCACTGGACTGCCCTGTTCCCTACACTGCTTTGACATCCTGAGGGAGGAGGAAACCCTTACACTGGGAGCTGGCAGTGTGTCTTCCTTAAAGAGGCAAGGTTTAGCATAGGGTCCCCACTGCAGGTGCAGGCTGAGCACAAGGCAGCACATGGGACAGATGAGATAGTGTGACTCCACATCTGCTCTCTACCCCTCTCAAGCCCTCTGATCCAGTTCAACCTGCTCCACTCCAAGTTCCACTTGTGCAGCGTCCCCACCCGGGCGCTCCTGCTGTCCACCTACATCAAGTTCGTGAACCTCTTTCCAGAGGTAAAGGCTACAATTCAGGACGTGCTACGCAGTGACAGCCAACTGAAGAATGCAGATGTGGAGCTGCAACAGCGGGCTGTGGAGTACCTGCGGCTGAGTACTGTGGCCAGCACTGATATCCTGGTGCGGGCTTCTGGCAGGGCTGTTCGGGACTGGGGCCACTGGGCTGGTACTGGGTGCCAGGATGGCCACACCAACCTTTTGTCCTTCTATTAGGCGACTGTCCTGGAGGAAATGCCACCCTTTCCTGAGCGTGAGTCCTCCATCTTGGCCAAGCTGAAGAAGAAGAAGGGCCCGAGCACAGTGACTGACCTGGAGGAGAGCAAGCGTGAGCGAAGCATGGACGTGAATGGGGGCCCTGAACCCGTTCCAGCCAGCACTAGTGCTGCGGTGGGTCCCTGCCACTGTGTTCCTGGCGCCCATCAGGGCTTCATACCCCAGGGTTGGGAATGGCAGGGCTGGTGTCTGTGGGAAAGCTGTGGATAGGTACTAACTGTCCAGTGGAGTCCAGTGCTGGACATGTGTATTCCTGAGCCTAGGGTCTCCAGGGCAGCCTGTGAGACCAGGTTAATGGCTTCTTGGAACCAGCCAGCACCTATGGCTCTCTGTGGTGACTTAATTTTAGACCCAAGACTTAGAATGGCTTGCCTTTCCTTTCTTCTTGGAGGTTTCCTGTAGTGACTGAAGTAGAGCACACTTCCCCTTGATGTGGTACAATGAAAGTATTCCTGTGGATGTAAGAATGCAACATCTGATGCTCATTGGTGGGAAATGCCATTTGGACCACTTCATTACCGTCTTTCTTCATTCAACTAAAACAGGACTACAAGTGTGGTCTTGTGGTAGCCTTTGCTTGTGCTGCTGTAGATGTGTTTCATCAGATGCTGTGATAACCAGTTCTTTTCTAGTTCTTTTCTGGCCAGCCGCTCCCTGACCCTGTCCCCTTTGGGGCGGGGTGGGAGGGTGGGAGACCACCTGTGACAGGATATCTGTGTTGCTACTTTTGGTAGCCCTTTTGAAAGGGTTTTGTAGCCAAATGAAGGGGGCCAGGAGCTCACTCTGTCCCTAGCTTCCCTGTTTCCTTCTTTGTGCTGGCCAGCAGCAGCAATTAGGCTTATTCCTGGCCTGAGGCCTGGCAAGGCTGTCACTTATACCTGTGCCCCTTGCATGGCAAAGACTGAGTGTCTCATTTATTTGAAATAATTTTCATACACATACTCACATGCCTGCACATGAACTTATAAAAAGCACAGCATATCACACCTGTTTCAAAGGATAAATATTTTAGCTTCCCTGCTAATATATTTCTACACTCAGATTCTTTACTGGGGCACACTCGAAGGCCTGGCCCTACTTGAAGGAGTTCTTGTGGCTGGGATAGATGATGGCCACCTGTGTGCAGGGTGCATGCAGCCACCGAGCACCCACTCTGCACAAGATGTGCTATATTAGAATGGTTTCAGGATCTCGTTCCCTGATGTTTGCATTTGTAAATGACCAGTGGGATGTTCAAATGTCATTCATAGTGACTCCTGAATACAGGGTCTCATGTCTGTTGCACCCCACATGTGTAGATTGGCCTTAGGAGTTCTGTGGCCAGCCCACAGGTGTGTGAGTCAGGTGTGGTATGGCAAGGGCACCTTTGGGTAAGTCAGGTCTGGGGAATGAATGTGGGGTGACCAGCCCTTGTACTGTGTGATGTAGTAATGACTTTAAGGGCTCCTCTTCCTCCTCCTCTTTTTTTTTTTTTTTTCCCTTTTTTCCTCAAGACAGGGTTTCTCTGTGTAGCCCTGGCTGTCCTGGAACTCACTCTGTAGACCATGCTGTCCCTGAACTCAGAGATTTTCTGCCTTTGCCTCCCAAGTGCTAAGGTTAAGTGTATGTACCACCACTGCCCCAGCTTCAAGGGCTCTAATGCTTTTGCGTGAACTGAAAAGCAAGGGTTTTCTAAGAAGTTTATGTACTTATCTGCTTCCTTTCATAAAGGAACCAGATTTAATGCTGAAGGGAGAAGGCATCCTAGCAAGCTGCTTGCTTACCTTTGCATCTTTTTATTTTCTTTACGTTTTTTTTTAATCTTATAGGTTTGTTAATTAAATTTGTTCTTTGATAATTTCATACATGTGTATAATACAAATACATACTGATTACTCTCTTCCCACCCTTCTATCTCCCGTTTACCCCTTCTGTCCACTTTCCTTCCTGCATGTTCCTTTCTTTCATTCCTGTCAACAATCACTTGCAGATGAGGGACGGATGCAAAGGGCTCTGACCATTACTGATGAATTTCGGCTATTGATAGATTTCTGGGAAAGGTGGAGTCATTGTCTTCACTTTTGCATCCACTGCTGAGCCCACCAGGCTCCAATAAATAGCTCTAAAACCATGGTCATACTGATGGCCCTTGTTAAACTCAGTAGATAACACACCAAAACTTTTCTGTTGTTTGTCTGGAACCATGTCTTCATACTGTAGCCTGGAATTCACTGTGCAGCCCAAGCTGGCCTAGAACCCGCTGTGTAGCAGAGGATAACGTTGAACTCCCTATCCTGCTCCCACCATATGCAAACCTTACTCTTTTTGAACAGTTGAAAGTAACGTGCATGGACTTGTTTCTTAACCTGTACATTTCAACCTTTTTGATGGCAAAACTTTTCTTTAGAACTTTGTTGTTTTGTTCAAATAGCATTTGTGGGGGGAAATGCAGACGATTTTTCTAGTTGTGTGAAACTATGATGGTATTATGAGGTGAATTTCTTCATCTGGGCTCACGGGTAGGCTTACTTTGTAGGTGGCCAGCAGCCCTCTCTTCCTGGTCTGCAGTCTCTGGACTGCTCACTGTCCCCCCTCCTCCCACCACCCCATTACTTGACCTAGGAGTGGACACAGGGCTGTGTGGGTCTTAAGCATCCCAGTATCCATGCTGATATTCCCTTTTCTTATCTTCCAGTCTACACCTTCCCCGTCAGCAGACCTGCTGGGTCTGGGGGCTGTTCCCCCTGCTCCCACAGGGCCCCCTCCCTCCTCTGGCGGTGGGCTACTAGTGGACGTGTTCTCAGACTCAGCTTCTGCAGTTGCACCTCTTGCACCCGGCTCCGAAGACAACTTTGCCAGGTAGCCCAGTGTCTTGAGTACTGCCTGGGAGGTGTGGCGGGAGCTCTACCTACCTCATGGGTGATTTGTGCTTAGTCTCTAGCACCTAACGGGTGCTATTAGAGAGGGGCTGGCTTTCTTGCAGACAGAGAGTATGTGAATGGCTGTGCTTTACTTTGGAGTCGATGGTACCTTTACAATTTCGTTTCTTTAAGACATTTGATAAATACTCTGAGCCTTTTTCTTCTTCCCACTTATCCCCCAACTCCACCCCATGTCCCTTGTGGTTTCAGCCCGGTCAGTTTGTCTTCCTCTGGCATATACCCTTTTTAAGGAAATCCCCTTCAGCTCTGTGCATAACTAGCCACCTTTCACCACAGTCTCAAGTGCCTGCCTTACTCTTTCTCGCTGACTCCATAGGTGTCTTCCGCTTACATGCCCTTGTCTAGCTACTTTATCTGTTTTCTACTATGAAAGGTTTGGGATCACTTTCCTTCTTGTTGGCTGATTTTGCCAGCTCCCCCTGCTGTCCTTACCCCGCTTGTGTTCTGGTTCCTGGGTGATGTGAGGCTCCTCACTTGTAGCCTCCTGTGACAGTGGGTTTTATCTGGGGCAGATTAGAATGCATCATATGATATCCTTTGTTTCCTGCTTGGAGATGATACCAGGATTCTTGTGGTTTTAGAGTTTTCGTTTCCTTGTATTCATTTTGCACATGATCCTTCCTTCCTGTTAGGAAATGTGTGTTTGGAGTTCATGTTTGGTGCAGGCTCCTCTTTGGTCTGTGAACAGACCTCTGATGGCTTGAGAATTGCTGAACTTGTTGTTTGACAGCTGGGGAAAACCCAGCTCCCCAGACCCTTGTTGCAGAGGCAACATGGGGTCCAACATACACCTTAGTTTTGACAGGCTCTGTATCCAGAAGCGCCCTAGCCTTGCTTTGTTGTCATTGCTCCATGACAGGCATGGGCCCTGGGTCAACTATTCCCTGATGTCCTGAGAAAAGATGGGGGTGGGGAATGTGGGTGGTAGTTGTTTGCAGGTTTGAGTCTTTCTCTGTTGGTGTAAGCTTCTGGTATATGTTCTTCAACACCAGGAGGTCATACACCTTTATTTTTTTCTTATCCTGGCCTGCTGGCCTGATCCTTGAAGCCACCTCTTAAGGTTCTGGGACAGTTCTTCAGGACACTAGCCTTGCAGGGATTTGCCTGTCTTGGTTTTGATGTGGCCACACAGGGTAACCACATGATGTTTATTTGGTGCATCATGGAAGCCCCTGTTGCTTTGGGCAGTGCAGCGGGCTTAAGGGAGGTTACATCCCTCATAAGACTAACGTGACTGTTCACTTGCAAGGTCTCCTATGTTAAGAGCAGTTGAAGTGACCTTTTGGAAATAGCCAGCCATACATGGATAGCAAGGCTTCTTTATCATTTGGATGATAGATTGATACCCAGATCCAAGTGTGTGAGCCCAATATCATCTGCTCAGTCTCCTTGAGTAACATCCAAGTTGGGCCTGGGTAGGGTGCTGGCCAAGGGTGGTGGGCCCTATGCTAGTGTTTGGAGCCTCAAGTTAGGCTTGTGGCTCTGCTTCCCAGCTACATCCTACAAGGGAACAGTCACTCTCATATGCGTTGTTATATGTTCTCCAAAGTGTTGGGAAAATGCTTCCTTCCTTCCTTCCTTCCTTCCTTCCTTCCTTCCTTCCTTCCTTCCTTCCTTCCTTTCTTGTTTTTCAAGACAGGATTTCTCTGTGTAGCCTTGGCTGTCCTGGAACTGACTTTGTAGACCAGACTGGCCTCGAGCTCACAGAGATCCATCCACCTGCTCAGTTTCTTACACTGAATAGACAGCGAGTTATTTTGGGACATCTCCCTGTAGCCAGAGCTGGGTAGATAGTTGTTGGGTTGTGGCCTGGATGACTTGGAAGAGCTGGTAGCATTTGGGCCTTTGGTGTGTTCAGAGGGGACTCTTTCCATTGCTCGTGGGGCTAGCAGAGCCTCTCTGGCCTGAGTGTCCAGGCACAATGTGATGTCTTCACAGCAAGGAAACAGCTCTTACATATCCTAGAGTGATAACTGTGGGAAAGTTGGTGGAGTTGATTGATTATGATCTAGGGCAGAGGTTACTCACCTTGGTCCCTGAGTCTACTTAGGTGTGCTGCTACATGTCACTGTCTCAGTCACCCAAGGACCAACTGCACCCTCTGCATACCACCAATCCTACCTCCTCACCCCAGACCTACCTCCCTGGGTGACAGTCACAGGTGACACCATCTGTTTTTGAGTGGCACCTGAGGAAGCTTGCCACTAGACGCTGGCTCTGTCTGCAGTTCTATATAGATCATTAAAAGTAAGGTCCTTGAAGCTTCTCCACTTTATCTTTCCCTGTCGCCACAGACATATTTTAGCCCTTTCTAAAAAAATTCTTCTGCTCCTGTGGGTGACTCTGAGTAACCTTCACTATCCTTTCTCCTAGGTTTGTTTGCAAAAATAATGGTGTGTTGTTTGAAAACCAGCTACTTCAAATTGGACTTAAGTCTGAATTTCGGCAGAATTTAGGTATGTGTTTTACTTAATGAAAATATCTTTAGAAATTACTGGAAATAGCCATGCATGGTGACACACATCTGTAATCCCAGCATTTGGAGGCAGAGATAGAATTGTGTGTTTGAGGGCACTCTGGGCTAAATAGCATGTTTCAGGTACCCCAAGGTTACATAACAAGATCTCCTCCAACCAAACAAAAAATTTTAAAGGCTGGGGTAGTGTTTACATCTCTAGTCCTAGCACTTGGGAGACTGAGGCAGGGTGATTGTCATATGTTCCAGATCAGCGTCGACAATAGTATAAGATTTTTGTCTTTTAAAAAAAAAAATATATATATATACACACACACACACACACACACACACACACACATATACACACACATACATACAAACAAACAAAAAATCCAAAAGGAATTAGGGGAAATTATGTAATAAGAGATGTTTGTAATCTTTACCCTGAAAAGTAACATGGAGAATTGGATGGTGGAGATGGCTATGCATTACTAAGCCATGCACCTGACATGATTTAAGATATATGTACTTTACCACAATTAAAAAGAAAGGGAATTATTAGAGTGCTGAAGGGAAAACATTTTGCCCACCAAACTGTTTGGAGTTGCTACTAAGGGCTCGTGGTATATGAAAGGGAGTAGAAGTGTGGAAGTCTAAGAGCTGTGGAATGCTGGGGACCAGTAGTATTTCTCTGAGAGATGCTGGGCTGACATGAGTGCCCTCTGTGCCTGATTTGGCTAAGGTTTTGCCCCTTGTCAGGCTTATTTCACCAGGTTTGATTGAGGAGGGAAGCTACATTGCTCTTTTTTCTAGAACTTTGGGTGTTTGGTTTCCTTTTAGAACTCTAAGGTAGAGCTCTAAGGGTGTAAGTGTCAAAAGGATTTGGCCAGTTGGTATAGGGAGCATGTCCTGGTTGGTCATGTTTGAAGGACAGTCCTGGCTGTTGGTACCAGTGAGTGGGTTAGATGGTAGACACAAGTGGAAGATATGTGGGTGGGTCTCACTGTGGTCACCACAGGGCAGGCTGATCCTCAGAAGGCTCCCGGTGTTCCGTTTGTGCCACCGAACCTCCAAACCTGGTGTTGGTGGTTCTGGTTGTAGTTTGCAGAAGAGATGATAAACCCTATTCCCCCTAAAGTCTTGCCTTGCTATCTTTTTAAATTTGGCTTTAGTTTTGTGTTTGAAACAGGTTTTCATGTAGCCCAGGCTGTCCTTAAATGTACTATGTAACTGAGGCTAGCCTTGAACTCCTGATCTTTCTGCCTCTGTCTCTCAAATACTAGGATGACAGGTGAATGTTTCTGTGTCCATCTGCTGTGCTGCTTTTAAACTAGAAGTTTGGTCTGATGGCTTGTGTGTATAATTCTAGTATTGGGAGGCGAAGACTAGAGGATTCTCATGAGTTCAAGGCCAGCCAGGAATACATAGGGGGTTTTCTAGGCCAGAGTAAGTTGCATAGTGAGACCAAACAACTATTTGGTTAAACAAAAAGTTAGATAGCAACAGTTAATGAGCCAACAGCTCACAATAAATGCATTCAACTGAGAATTACAGGGGCCACTTTTTGACTGACTATTCATGATAAATGTGACAATAATGTATAAAATAAAACTATCTGTTTCTTCCTAGGCCGAATGTTCATATTTTATGGTAACAAGACCTCCACACAGTTCCTAAACTTCACTCCAACACTAATCTGTGCTGACGACCTTCAGGCTAATATCCTTGATTATCTCTAGGCTCTCGGATAGACAGACAATAATTGGGGTTAGACGAAGCTTTGGGGGGGGGGCTGCATTTTGTTCATATGGCAATGTTTTCCATGGCTCAGTAAAATCAGGGGCCTTTTCTTTGAGTTGAACCAATGGTGCATCAGATACCACCCACACAGCTAGCTCTTCCTTTCATCTGGTTATGTGAGTCACTCCTTTTGCTTGTTTTGCTCTCCTGTGGCCTTTACCCTGTGAAGTTCCCCCAAAAGGAGCTGTGGCCAAAGGAGAGTGATCCTGTGGTAACTAGCCAGTGTGGAACATCTTCTCATGCCTGCTGAGCTTATGTGTGCCTTGGCACATCCTTTGCTTAGGCAGAGGACGGCTCCATATGGCCACTGGGAATGGTCAGGAATGTTGGATGGCTTCAGTTGAGGAGCTGTGAGAGAGGGATAGCTGGGGTCTGCTAACAGTGTGCAGACCAGGGTCCACAATGGCCAGGCATTTATGCCTTGGGCTCAGCACATAGTATGTATAACAATGAGTGTCATCTTTGTAGTGTATCTGTGTTCATTTGGAGATGATATATTTAAATATAGAACCATTTGGAAACAAGTCAGAAACACTGCTGTGGTGTTTAGGGATGTGGTTCAGTGGTAGATTGTACATTTATGCAGCCTAAGCAAGAACCTGGTTCCATCTCCAGCATTCCCCTGATGTACACACAAGGACTGATGCATACAGAACTACTGTCTGTGTCTCCTTCCCCTGGGCTCCAAGGAGTCATGAGCTGTGGGCGTAGATTGCCATGCAGAATACAGAGGAAAGTGGAAGCTACCCAGTTTCTGCTATGGTTGCATGGATCCTGGATGCAAGGGTGTTACAGTGAGCCTAGAGACTCCTATTCAGATGTTTTAGTTCTCTGGCTTGCATAGGTGCAGTGCTACACTGATGTGTAAAGCTGTGCCTTTGAGTTAGCAGGCATGGCTTCTGCTGAGCACATAGTCGCAGAGCTCAGTTCTTCAGTGCCAAGGCCAGTGTGCAGCTATTGGACAACTTCCATGACTGTGGGTGGTCTGGGCCAGTGGGACATGTTGAATGGTGGAAGGGCAGATTGGCAATAGCTCTGGTTTATGATGTTGGCAGTGTGATATGTAGGGGCCTCTGCTGCATTCTGTTGTGGGCTGGTTGTGCTGGGCCCACTCTCCCTGCCTGCCTAGACTCCTTAATGCACTCACATCTGAACCTGCAGACCAAGCCCGTGGACCCAACTGTGGATGGGGGCGCACAGGTGCAACAGGTGGTCAACATTGAGTGTGTATCTGATTTCACAGAGGCACCTGTTCTCAACATCCAGTTCAGGTGAGGACTGTGTGCCTCCTGTGTCCTTTCCCAATCTGTGTGCTTCTCCTCAAGGAAGTTAATTGGTTACTGCTGTGCCACTGTGCATGCACAGTGCTGCCATAAGCTTCCAGAGTATAGGAGCAAGTGGAGAGGGAGCTGGCTTCTGTGACCATGGCATATGGTACTCATGGGGTTTGAGTTTCCTGTGTGGTCTGCAAGTTAGGCTATTTCTGACCCAGGTGATTTTGTGGTGAGAAGTGGAAGAGCCAGGCACTCTGTGCTGTCTGCTTAGGCTGGCTCAAAATGACATCTTGAAGGATAAGGATGGTAGTAGCTGGTTTGGAGCTAGACTTCTGGGTCATAGTATGTAGCCTTCTTTTTAGTCATTACAGTGGTTTCTTGTTGGGGAGCTACAGGCTAATTGATTTGATAGTCTACTTGGGCCTGTCCTGGGTCTTCATTTGCCAAAGGAGTAGAACTGAAAGGAATGGTCCTCTGACACTTGGCACAAAGCAGTGGCTTGGTCCTTTGCTCTCCAAGGGAGACATAGATTGTAACTGGAGGGTGTGGCTTAGCCCCTCCAGGAATGCAGTCTTTTGGCTATTATTGGGGTGGATGGCCACATAGCCTTTCTCTAAGCCTGAAGACTCACCAACTGGAACATTTTGGCCAGGCGTTTGTTCTCCATAACATGTTTCTATTGTTATAGGTATGGTGGTACCTTCCAGAATGTGTCTGTTAAGCTGCCCATCACGCTCAACAAATTTTTCCAGCCCACAGAAATGGCTTCTCAGGATTTCTTTCAACGTTGGAAGCAGTTGAGCAAGTGAGAGGGCTGTACTATGGGTGGAGGGGAGAATGGGGGACTGTCCCTGGACAGGATACTCTATGGGTCTCAGCATGGCTTTTAGTACTAACTTGTTGTTTTTCATAGTCCACAGCAAGAAGTGCAGAATATCTTCAAAGCAAAGCATCCAATGGATACAGAGATCACTAAAGCAAAGGTAAAGGGTTGTATGGCGATGTAGCTGAGGCAAGTGTTGTGACCAGTGTGTTCTGACCTACCTCTTCGTTCTGTGTAGATTATTGGATTTGGTTCTGCACTCCTTGAGGAAGTTGATCCAAACCCTGCAAATTTTGTGGGTGCTGGCATAATACATACCAAAACCACCCAGATTGGCTGTTTACTGCGCCTGGAACCAAATCTGCAAGCTCAGGTGAGGTCTCCATAATAGGAGAATGGATATGATCATATTGCTTTTTATTTCGGACAAGTTTCTAGAGATAATCAGATTCTAACTATTGTTGGTCATGGTAGCAGTGTAGACACTTAGATGGCTACTTGTTATCAGAGCACATAGATTTCCCTCTCCTCGCAGAAAGCCTGGCATGCCACCACATTGTCTATGTAGCAGCCTAGCCATGAGCTGTGTTTGTTTAGCTCTTCTAGTGAGGTCTTGTTCTGCCTCCCTCTGTGAATGTGGTATACATCACTGCTTGCTTTAGCAGTGTTCCTCTAGAGACTCTAGTCTGTGTATTCTATTGTGTATGGATACTTGTTTTCACAACACTTGGGCAGGTTGGGGAGTGTAGTGGTCAGCTCAAAGGGTGGTGCATAGTTAACTTGATGAGAAGCTCTCAAGCTGGTTGTGTATGGTGGTATGTGCCTGTAATCTCAGTACTCAGGAGGAAAACCAGTTCAAGACCAGCCTGGGCTACACAGTGAGACTGTGTCTCAAAATACAAAACAAAAGAGCAAAATAAAAAGTGGCTGACTTGCACCTCCCTTCCCCCCCCCCCCCCCCCGCGCTCTTCCCCTATTTGCTTTTATTAGACTTTTCTATTTTTACTAGTGAAACAGTGCTGCTTCAGGAGGGGCTGCTGTGAATGTCGGGGCCTAGGTCACAAAAGTACCTGCCTGCTAAGAACCTGGAGCTTAGTGCCAGCTCACCCTGCTGCTCTCTCTATTTCAGATGTACCGACTCACGCTACGTACCAGCAAAGACACCGTCTCTCAGAGACTATGTGAATTGCTGTCGGAACAGTTCTAATCCACGGGCCAGAAGATCAGGCTCCTTGTTTGTGCGTCTTCTTGTCTCTACCGTTTGTCTTTGTACCACACTGCAGATAAACACCCCTTGTCTGAAAACTGCCACTCAAGGCACCTTCAGTCCTACACCTACAGCCAGCCCCTTGGGTGTGGAGATAATGCAGGACACAGTTTGAGAAGGGCTGCAGCAGGCCTGCCCCATCAAAGAAGGGTGCCTGGGCCTGGAAAATCAAGGCAGCCCTGTAGTTCAACCTACAAATTAAAGGGAAATTACAAGTTTGAACGAAAGTGGAAATTTTGTTCAAATTTTATTAAAATGCCACTGACTCATTCTCAGAATCCAGACACAGCTCCATGTGCTTATAGGGTTAACACAGGTCTGTGTGGCCATGCCGGGTAGTGACACCATTGGCTTAGAGGTGTGTGACCTCATGGGCTGAACAGAGTCCATGTGGTTTTCTATAGCACTATTTGATAGTGCTGAAGTGCTTGTGTTTTATGACTGTTGGCAAACTCCATGCCTTGCTCATGGTAGGATCCTGTGCCTAGCATACCAGTGTTCTTGAAGGGACAGTTTAAAAATTTGACCACTTATATGAGACCTTAGGTTTGCAGCATGGTGGGTATAGAGGTTCCTATTGACATGGACATCACCCATCTTTTGTTTTTAATGAATGAATATACTGTCCCTGTGGGGACTTGAAGGTTAATGGGTTTGGAGGTAAAGTAATAATTCATAAGGTGTGCTTCTCTCCAGAGGGTCTTAGTTGGTACCCCAGTATTGCATTCTCACTTCTGTGAAGCCCTTGTTGGTTGGGTGGAAAAGGGAGGCCCTAAGTGTGGTAATGGAGTGAGAGGCTGGGGTGAGAATGCAGACCAGGCAGGTGCTGTGCTAAGGATGCACTGGACTTTCTAGCTTGAGCACTGGCAGCTCAATTGTTAGTTAACCTCTTGTGGACATTGGACTGTATGTGCAGCCCATCAGGGAAGTGCATAGACCATGTCAGGAGCCTTGGGACTCCAGGCTGGGACCCTGTACTCTGCCTTGAGATGATGCCCAGGATTGCTGTAGACTCAACCATACAGATTTATCTGTACTTAGACAAGCAGTGTTGATGCCCCTTGCTCACTAGAGCACTGTGTGGTCACATATGCATGAGGTTTTTTTTTTGTTGTTGTTGTTGTTTTTTGCATCAGCCTCAGGTTACCAACCTGCCATGGTGGATTTGAGGACAGTAGCAGGGTTCCTATCCCACTCAAGCTCCCCCCACTCTGTACAGCCCAGACAGTTAGTTTCCGAACCAACCAATACCGCTGTGCTGACCCTTGTGTTCCAGGAAGCCCTTGGGTGTTGTGATCCACACTTGCTATGGCACAGGCCTGTGTTGTAGGAGGATGATCTAGCTGTGGCCACAGTGAGCCTTTGGAGTTAACTTGCTCCAGTAGCTTGACAGTGTGCCTCTCCATTATGTACAATCCATGCACTACTGCAAGGACCATGTGGATAGCTCAACCTGTGTGGCTGTGGCTTATGTACCATGTGCTACCCAGTGATGGTGTCTAGATCAGTAGTGCCCCAGCACGTGGAAGCTGTTGGGGCACAAGCCCGCCCTTTGTGACTCCTGGGCCTCCATCAGTACAGTGTGCTTGTTCTCAGAGGAAAAAAATAAATTCTAGGACAGGAAACTGGAACAAGTGTGTGATCTTTGTGGGGAGTGTTCTGTACTGCCCTCAGTCCGTGCTCTTTGGAATTGAGTACAACTCAAGAATGAAGGACCCTGGAGTGCTAGCTACCTCTCAATTCAGGGTTACCTCAGAAAGTGATTGTCTTGGCTCTGTCTGTGTGGTGCTGGGTGTGTTGAGCCTAGCCTGGGTCCACACACTGCCAGAAATCTGGTGGCTACAGTTCCACTGAAGTCTGTACCTGGAAGATTCACTCTAACACACAGGACCCATGGGCTCAAGACTCCTCTCTTCTGCTCCAGTGTGGAGCTGCACATGAGAGATGGTCCTTGCTTGGGGAGCCTGGAAGGTAGTGGGCTTCACCACAAACATGTCAAAAATCCTGGGTGTGGGTGGCTCAAGACCATGGCTGTTGGTCATTCTGTCTGAGTCCCACCTGGTACATGGGCCTGGCAGTCCCAGGTCCTGGTAGCCTATCCTGTGCAAGTGTTTGTAATATCATGTCCAGGATTCTGGAAGACAGCAGCAACATGTACACACCAAGTTCTGCCTTGAAAAGAACCAGTTTATTTGAAATCTGCTTATTGTTGAGCAGGATGACCTCCTGCCCAGTGGGTGCCAATGCTTGTGCTCTGCCCTGCCTTTGGGGAGACCTCCTTTCCTTGTGGCTCTTTGATGCTTATCTTGCTGCCTGCCCCAATCCAGGGCTCATACCCCTACATCTTCCTCCTATGTCTCTCCAGGTACCTTGCCCAGTCTTCCCAGCACTCTCTGATCTCGTGGGTATTATAGTGGGAGGCTGGGAGGTGCTATACAGGTGGACAGGAAATTCCCAGGGCATCAAGGTTGAAGGGATGTCAGTAGTTCATTTCCACTGAAGGCATGTTTTGCTTGGTTAAGGTCTGCAGGAGGTAGGTGGTAGGAAACTTTGCATTATAGGTGTTGCTGTTTCTCTGTTGCCTCAGGATGAGCCATGTCCAAGGTCTCTTTGAGGCCGTGCCCATGGCCAGTAAGGGGATTGCTTGTTACAGTGTGGAGAAATGTCAGGAATGGCTTGTGGTGTGGTGTGGTATGGTATGGGTGTGTGGGTGTGTCTGTGTCTATAACCTCTTGTGCCTACGAAACCAGTTGCTGTTGTTTAGTTCTTGCATTGCAGGGAGCTACATGTACAGCTGCTGAACACTTGGAGGGTAAGTGTGAGCTGCTGGCCTGGTATATTGGGATCTGGGCAGGGCAGGGGGAATTGCTTCTCATAGGTGCTAAGGGGCTGGCAGCAACCACAGTGTGTCTCCAACTGCAAGGTGTCCGGATTGAACCTGCCAAGAAGCAGAGACCAGCAGGGTCAGGATTGGCCCCTCCCTCCAGGCCAGTCCCAGAGTACAGTGAACACTGTAGCTGATTTGTAGGCCAGGCCCTCTGGAGCAAGCACCTGCTCATGGGCAAGGAAAGTGTAGCCAGAGTGAACTGCTCTCAATGTTCTTAATACTGTGATCCTTTAACACAGTTGTAGCAACGCTCAACCATAAAATTATTTTCGATGTTACTTTATAATTAATTTTGCTACTGTTATTAATCATAGGTAAATAATTGAGTTTTCCAATGGTTTAAGGTGATTCTGTGAAAGGGTCCCAAGGGTTGTGACCCACAGGTTGTGAACCACTGGCATAGACCTCTATTGGTCAGAGTAGATACGGGAAACATTGAAAATCCATCTCCTGGGAGGGTTCTGATCCTGGCAGAGGGGAAGATATTTGCCAACAACTCACCTGACAGAGGAGGCACAGAAACCCTGGCAATGAGTTAGAGTCACATTTGCCACGCAGCCCTGGTAGGTAATCTGTCGCTCCTCTTCCTGCAAGCTGCAGGCTCCTGGAAATGGAGGCCCAAAAACAGGTGTCAGTCATTTTAGTCCCCACCTGGCTCTCTTTTGTGTACCTCCTTATCCATCCAGTATTCAAGGCTTTCTTAAAGAATCTGGCATTGAGCCAGCCAGGTCCAGGTAGATCTGAGGCAGTCACCTATAGTCCCCAGTAAAGGTGTCATAGGTCTGTTGGATATAGGACATGCTAAGGGCCAAAGGAGGGTGTTGAAGGAGAATGTCCATGTCCCTCACAAAAGAACATGCGGTAACTGAGAATAAGCAATGTGCCACCTGGGTTAAGGGTCACAGCAGAGAAAGCCTTTTGGTCTGGGCCTCTGGAAAGGTTTCAGAGGCTATGACATTCAGTGACAAATGGTGGTAGTGATGCCTCAGGAGGCAGGTAGCGCTGTTGATCATAGGAACTGCCAGTGTGGGCAGTGTAGTGGTGGACACCTGTAAAATCAGCACATAGGAGCATATGTAGGAAGTCCATGAGTTCAAGAAGAGCCCAGGTCAGATACTGCCCGTGTGGTACCTGGGTTAAAAAGTTAAAATTAGACTCCAGTGGTGGTGGCACATTCCTTTAATCCTAGCCCTTGGAAGTTAGAGACTGGTGAGTTCAAGGCCAGCCTGGTCTACAGAAGAATTCTAGAACAGCCAGAGAAACCCTATCTTTAAAAACAAAAACAAAAAAGCAGGTAAGATGGTTCAACAGGTAAAGGATCTTGCTGCCAGATCTAATGACCTTTTGGTCCCTAGTACTCACATGATGAGAGAACTGGCTCCTTCAAGTCTCCATACAACACACACACACACACACACACACACACACACACACACACAAAGAAAAAAGTTAAAAGTGATTTGTGGGTGGCAGATATGCTCCATGTAACTTCTCTTTCCTGTGCTCATTTATTTTTGCCCTGATTCTCCAAGAGGTTTGGGGAGGGTCGGGTGGCCTTCTGTTCCTCTCTACAACACTGTTTGCTCTCCTCACTTCCTAGGGCCATTTTCTCTGGAAACAGCCTGAACTTAGTGACAATCTGTACCCATAAGACAGGGACCAGTTGCTGACTCTCTGAGGACTTCCTGCATGAGGGATGCTTAGAAGATGTGTGGGGAGCCTGGCCCCAAGTTGGATGCCTTGAGAGGAACACTCAAATACAGTGTCCTTAGAGTGTAGGTTGAATTCATGTTCCTGTGAAGGCTGACACTGTTTAGGAATAATTGCCCTATTGGGAACCGTGGTCACAGTAGTGTAGGAGAGCCAGTAGAAACCCTGGACAGCAAGAAGTGTACATACTGGTTTCCAGGCCTTGCCTGGACTACGCACTGAGGTAGGTTGCATTCCTAAACCCAAGGGCCCAGTCAGGTCTCACTTGCTAGCATCCCAAGGGGCAGGTGTGTAGAACTGCTTAGAGGTGTTAGGACCTAGGGAGGCACATGGGCCACAAGTGAGTGAACCCTTGCAGGAAACAGGCCCAAAGAAGTCAAATGGTCCTGAAATGTATGGGGATCAAGTCCCTTATTCAGCCAGACTGGGTAAACCCAGAATAGTGTTCCTGAGAAGTGAAGAGAAAGAAACTTGTAGTTAGGTCAGGAAACACCCAAAACCAGCTCTAGGACCAAGCTTTCATGGAGGCACCAAGGGATAATTGGAGGAAAATACTGTATAGCAGAACCACACTCTGAAGAACTCTGGAGTAAACAGTTAAAAAGAAGCAGGCTAGGGGCCAAAGACCCAGCCAATGGCTTCACTTACCAGGATGGGTGGGTGGAGAGGAGATCAAGGAGTCTGGATTGGAGGGCGACACTGGGGTAGAAGGTGAGGAACTTCCAGTAGGAGTAGCAGGATGGCTCAGGAACACAGATGTAGGCAGTGGGCTGGTACCAGGAGGCTTAGTGGTGTGGTTGGTGTTTGGGGAACTTGGGAAGACTGTCATGCCCATGGTAGAAGACAGTATCCCTGATGTAGAGGCTTGGGTAGTAAGGGAGGTAGAAAGGGAAGTGGTGGACTTCGAGGATGATGAAGAAAAGGTAGGCACATGAGATGTAGTCTTGGAAGTGGATATAAGGCTGACACTGGAAGTTGGCATATTAGATGGAGTGGGAGTCATGTGGATGGTGGGTAGAGCAGAGGACAGAATGGATGAGGTAACAGATGGGAAAACAGATGAATTAATAAGAGTAGAGGCCGCAGTTCCAGACACGAAGGCTGCAACAGATGAAGGATGAGAGGATGATGTAGGTTTAGTAAAAAGTGGGGTATGGGATACTGAAGTGGGGGTAGGTATAAATTGCAGAGTAGAACCTAAAGAACTTGGTGCAGATGTGAGAGGCAATGTCATGGAGGAAGATGAAAGAGATGTTGAGGTATGAGGAACAGATGAAGTGATACCAGCGTTAGGTGGGAAGGCAGTAGGAGATGTTACAAAGGGGACATTAGTGACAGGAAGCAAAGTGGATGGGAAGCTTGGTGGGTGAGAAGAGACAGTTGGTACAGACGACAAGGAATGGGAAACAGTAGAGCTGTGGGACACTAAGGGTGGACTCCACAACAAGGGAGAAGTTCTTGATGTTGTGAACGGTGAAGAAACTGGGGTAAAGGCAGTCGTAGAAGTGATAGGTAGCGCTGTTTGGGAAGAAATAATAGGCTTCATAGGGGGAGACAAAAGAATGGTGGTCTGTGGCCTGGGCGTGGCAGCTGCTGATGCTGTGTGTTGGCTTGTGGGGCTGCCAAGTATCTCAGATGTTGCCACAGGGGAGGATGATAATGTTGGCAGTGGTGTGGTCAAAGAGGTCTGAGGGGCTGATGGTGTTGGGAAGGTGGCCGTGGTCTGCTGGGAGATTCCTGAAGGAATTGTGGTGTGTGGTAGGCTAGAGACAGCAGCCGTGGGTGCAGAGTGTGTAGTGTGTGGTGTAGTGGCGGGGCTAGGTGTGCCTGAGGTACTGTGCAGCACCGGGGTCCCAGTTACACCCAGAGTTGTCGTAGTGAAGAGAGCAGTGACCGGAACCGATGTTGATTGGTGTGGAGTCAACAGGGAAGTTTGTGAATTGTGGGAGGTAGAGGTCCTGCCCGTGGAGGATGAGCTGTGTGTTTGGGTGATGGCACTGGTTGTGTACATGACGGGTGTCGATGTTTGTGGAGGCCTTGTGGCTTCCAGTGTGGTTGGGAGAATGGTGCGTGGTGTGGTGGAGGTGGACGCTGCTGATGTCGTGTGTGGGCTGGTTTGGGTGCTAGGTGTCACTGAGCTTGGTGTCATAGAGGAGGTTGACGATAGTGGCATCTGTGTGGAGAGAGAGGTCTGTGGCCCTGATGGGGTAGGGAAGTTGGAGGTGGTCTGCATGGATGTTTCTGAAGGTAGACCTGGGGTGTGTGTTGTGCTAGAGACGGCAAGAGTGGTTGAAAGTTGGGTGGTGTGCGGAGTGTGTGGACTGCTAGGTGTGCCTGAGGTGGTGTGGACCACAGGGGTCCCGGTTACAGCCAGGGTGGACCGTGTTGCTAGGGTTGTTACCGGAAGTGATGCGGATGCATGGGAAGTCATGGAGGAAAATTCTGGAGGGTGGGACGTAGAAGTTCTGCCTGTGGAGAATGAGTGTTGAGGTTGTGTGGTGGCACTGGTTGTGTGAATGACGGCTGTTGGTGTGTGAGGCTTCCCTGTGGCCTCGCTTGTGGGTTGCAGAATGGTGGTCTGTGGCCTGGACGTGGCAGCTGCTGATGCTGTGTGTTGGCTTGTGGGGCTGCCAAGTATCTCAGATGTTGCCACAGGGGAGGATGATAATGTTGGCAGTGGTGTGGTCAAAGAGGTCTGAGGGGCTGATGGTGTTGGGAAGGTGGCCGTGGTCTGCTGGGAGATTCCTGAAGGAATTGTGGTGTGTGGTAGGCTAGAGACAGCAGCCGTGGGTGCAGAGTGTGTAGTGTGTGGTGTAGTGGCGGGGCTAGGTGTGCCTGAGGTACTGTGCAGCACCGGGGTCCCAGTTACACCCAGAGTTGTCGTAGTGAAGAGAGCAGTGACCGGAACCGATGTTGATTGGTGTGGAGTCAACAGGGAAGTTTGTGAATTGTGGGAGGTAGAGGTCCTGCCCGTGGAGGATGAGCTGTGTGTTTGGGTGATGGCACTGGTTGTGTACATGACGGGTGTCGATGTTTGTGGAGGCCTTGTGGCTTCCAGTGTGGTTGGGAGAATGGTGCGTGGTGTGGTGGAGGTGGACGCTGCTGATGTCGTGTGTGGGCTGGTTTGGGTGCTAGGTGTCACTGAGCTTGGTGTCACAGAGGAGGTTGATGATAGTGGCATCTGTGTGGAGAGAGAGGTCTGTGGCCCTGATGGGGTAGGGAAGTTGGAGGTGGTCTGCATGGATGTTTCTGAAGGTAGACCTGGGGTGTGTGTTGTGCTAGAGACGGCAAGAGTGGTTGAAAGTTGGGTGGTGTGCGGAGTGTGTGGACTGCTAGGTGTGCCTGAGGTGGTGTGGACCACAGGGGTCCCGGTTACAGCCAGGGTGGACCGTGTTGCTAGGGTTGTTACCGGAAGTGATGCGGATGCATGGGAAGTCATGGAGGAAAATTCTGGAGGGTGGGACGTAGAAGTTCTGCCTGTGGAGAATGAGTGTTGAGGTTGTGTGGTGGCACTGGTTGTGTGAATGACGGCTGTTGGTGTGTGAGGCTTCCCTGTGGCCTCGCTTGTGGGTTGCAGAATGGTGGTCTGTGGCCTGGACGTGGCAGCTGCTGATGCTGTGTGTTGGCTTGTGGGGCTGCCAAGTATCTCAGATGTTGCCACAGGGGAGGATGATAATGTTGGCAGTGGTGTGGTCAAAGAGGTCTGAGGGGCTGATGGTGTTGGGAAGGTGGCCGTGGTCTGCTGGGAGATTCCTGAAGGAATTGTGGTGTGTGGTAGGCTAGAGACAGCAGCCGTGGGTGCAGAGTGTGTAGTGTGTGGCGTAGTGGCGGGGCTAGGTGTGCCTGAGGTACTGTGCAGCACCGGGGTCCCAGTTACACCCAGAGTTGTCGTAGTGAAGAGAGCAGTGACCGGAACCGATGTTGATTGGTGTGGAGTCAACAGGGAAGTTTGTGAATTGTGGGAGGTAGAGGTCCTGCCCGTGGAGGATGAGCTGTGTGTTTGGGTGATGGCACTGGTTGTGTACATGACGGGTGTCGATGTTTGTGGAGGCCTTGTGGCTTCCAGTGTGGTTGGGAGAATGGTGCGTGGTGTGGTGGAGGTGGACGCTGCTGATGTCGTGTGTGGGCTGGTTTGGGTGCTAGGTGTCACTGAGCTTGGTGTCACAGAGGAGGTTGACGATAGTGGCATCTGTGTGGAGAGAGAGGTCTGTGGCCCTGATGGGGTAGGGAAGTTGGAGGTGGTCTGCATGGATGTTTCTGAAGGTAGACCTGGGGTGTGTGTTGTGCTAGAGACGGCAAGAGTGGTTGAAAGTTGGGTGGTGTGCGGAGTGTGTGGACTGCTAGGTGTGCCTGAGGTGGTGTGGACCACAGGGGTCCCGGTTACAGCCAGGGTGGACCCTGTTGCTAGGGTTGTTACCGGAAGTGATGCGGATGCATGGGAAGTCATGGAGGAAATTTCTGGAGGGTGGGACGTAGAAGTTCTGCCTGTGGAGAATGAGTGTTGAGGTTGTGTGGTGGCACTGGTTGTGTGAATGACGGCTGTTGGTGTGTGAGGCTTCCCTGTGGCCTCGCTTGTGGGTTGCAGAATGGTGGTCTGTGGCCTGGACGTGGCAGCTGCTGATGCTGTGTGTTGGCTTGTGGGGCTGCCAAGTATCTCAGATGTTGCCACAGGGGAGGATGATAATGTTGGCAGTGGTGTGGTCAAAGAGGTCTGAGGGGCTGATGGTGTTGGGAAGGTGGCCGTGGTCTGCTGGGAGATTCCTGAAGGAATTGTGGTGTGTGGTAGGCTAGAGACAGCAGCCGTGGGTGCAGAGTGTGTAGTGTGTGGTGTAGTGGCGGGGCTAGGTGTGCCTGAGGTACTGTGCAGCACCGGGGTCCCAGTTACACCCAGAGTTGTCGTAGTGAAGAGAGCAGTGACCGGAACCGATGTTGATTGGTGTGGAGTCAACAGGGAAGTTTGTGAATTGTGGGAGGTAGAGGTCCTGCCCGTGGAGGATGAGCTGTGTGTTTGGGTGATGGCACTGGTTGTGTACATGACGGGTGTCGATGTTTGTGGAGGCCTTGTGGCTTCCAGTGTGGTTGGGAGAATGGTGCGTGGTGTGGTGGAGGTGGACGCTGCTGATGTCGTGTGTGGGCTGGTTTGGGTGCTAGGTGTCACTGAGCTTGGTGTCACAGAGGAGGTTGACGATAGTGGCATCTGTGTGGAGAGAGAGGTCTGTGGCCCTGATGGGGTAGGGAAGTTGGAGGTGGTCTGCATGGATGTTTCTGAAGGTAGACCTGGGGTGTGTGTTGTGCTAGAGACGGCAAGAGTGGTTGAAAGTTGGGTGGTGTGCGGAGTGTGTGGACTGCTAGGTGTGCCTGAGGTGGTGTGGACCACAGGGGTCCCGGTTACAGCCAGGGTGGACCGTGTTGCTAGGGTTGTTACCGGAACTGATGCGGATGCATGGGAAGTCATGGAGGAAATTTCTGGAGGGTGGGACGTAGAAGTTCTGCCTGTGGAGAATGAGTGTTGAGGTTGTGTGGTGGCACTGGTTGTGTGAATGACGGCTGTTGGTGTGTGAGGCTTCCCTGTGGCCTCGCTTGTGGGTTGCAGAATGGTGGTCTGTGGCCTGGACGTGGCAGCTGCTGATGCTGTGTGTTGGCTTGTGGGGCTGCCAAGTATCTCAGATGTTGCCACAGGGGAGGATGATAATGTTGGCAGTGGTGTGGTCAAAGAGGTCTGAGGGGCTGATGGTGTTGGGAAGGTGGCCGTGGTCTGCTGGGAGATTCCTGAAGGAATTGTGGTGTGTGGTAGGCTAGAGACAGCAGCCGTGGGTGCAGAGTGTGTAGTGTGTGGTGTAGTGGCGGGGCTAGGTGTGCCTGAGGTACTGTGCAGCACCGGGGTCCCAGTTACACCCAGAGTTGTCGTAGTGAAGAGAGCAGTGACCGGAACCGATGTTGATTGGTGTGGAGTCAACAGGGAAGTTTGTGAATTGTGGGAGGTAGAGGTCCTGCCCGTGGAGGATGAGCTGTGTGTTTGGGTGATGGCACTGGTTGTGTACATGACGGGTGTCGATGTTTGTGGAGGCCTTGTGGCTTCCAGTGTGGTTGGGAGAATGGTGCGTGGTGTGGTGGAGGTGGACGCTGCTGATGTCGTGTGTGGGCTGGTTTGGGTGCTAGGTGTCACTGAGCTTGGTGTCACAGAGGAGGTTGACGATAGTGGCATCTGTGTGGAGAGAGAGGTCTGTGGCCCTGATGGGGTAGGGAAGTTGGAGGTGGTCTGCATGGATGTTTCTGAAGGTAGACCTGGGGTGTGTGTTGTGCTAGAGACGGCAAGAGTGGTTGAAAGTTGGGTGGTGTGCGGAGTGTGTGGACTGCTAGGTGTGCCTGAGGTGGTGTGGACCACAGGGGTCCCGGTTACAGCCAGGGTGGACCGTGTTGCTAGGGTTGTTACCGGAACTGATGCGGATGCATGGGAAGTCATGGAGGATATTTCTGGAGGGTGGGACGTAGAAGTTCTGCCTGTGGAGAATGAGTGTTGAGGTTGTGTGGTGGCACTGGTTGTGTGAATGACGGCTGTTGGTGTGTGAGGCTTCCCTGTGGCCTCGCTTGTGGTTTGCAGAATGGTTGTCTGTGGCCTGGACGTGGCAGCTGCTGATGCTGTGTGTTGGCTTGTGGGGCTGCCAAGTATCTCAGATGTTGCCACAGGGGAGGATGATAATGTTGGCAGTGGTGTGGTCAAAGAGGTCTGAGGGGCTGATGGTGTTGGGAAGGTGGCCGTGGTCTGCTGGGAGATTCCTGAAGGAATTGTGGTGTGTGGTAGGCTAGAGACAGCAGCCGTGGGTGCAGAGTGTGTAGTGTGTGGCGTAGTGGCGGGGCTAGGTGTGCCTGAGGTACTGTGCAGCACCGGGGTCCCAGTTACACCCAGAGTTGTCGTAGTGAAGAGAGCAGTGACCGGAACCGATGTTGATTGGTGTGGAGTCAACAGGGAAGTTTGTGAATTGTGGGAGGTAGAGGTCCTGCCCGTGGAGGATGAGCTGTGTGTTTGGGTGATGGCACTGGTTGTGTACATGACGGGTGTCGATGTTTGTGGAGGCCTTGTGGCTTCCAGTGTGGTTGGGAGAATGGTGCGTGGTGTGGTGGAGGTGGACGCTGCTGATGTCGTGTGTGGGCTGGTTTGGGTGCTAGGTGTCACTGAGCTTGGTGTCACAGAGGAGGTTGACGATAGTGGCATCTGTGTGGAGAGAGAGGTCTGTGGCCCTGATGGGGTAGGGAAGTTGGAGGTGGTCTGCATGGATGTTTCTGAAGGTAGACCTGGGGTGTGTGTTGTGCTAGAGACGGCAAGAGTGGTTGAAAGTTGGGTGGTGTGCGGAGTGTGTGGACTGCTAGGTGTGCCTGAGGTGGTGTGGACCACAGGGGTCCCGGTTACAGCCAGGGTGGACCGTGTTGCTAGGGTTGTTACCGGAAGTGATGCGGATGCATGGGAAGTCATGGAGGAAATTTCTGGAGGGTGGGACGTAGAAGTTCTGCCTGTGGAGAATGAGTGTTGAGGTTGTGTGGTGGCACTGGTTGTGTGAATGACGGCTGTTGGTGTGTGAGGCTTCCCTGTGGCCTCGCTTGTGGGTTGCAGAATGGTGGTCTGTGGCCTGGACGTGGCAGCTGCTGATGCTGTGTGTTGGCTTGTGGGGCTGCCAAGTATCTCAGATGTTGCCACAGGGGAGGATGATAATGTTGGCAGTGGTGTGGTCAAAGAGGTCTGAGGGGCTGATGGTGTTGGGAAGGTGGCCGTGGTCTGCTGGGAGATTCCTGAAGGAATTGTGGTGTGTGGTAGGCTAGAGACAGCAGCCGTGGGTGCAGAGTGTGTAGTGTGTGGTGTAGTGGCGGGGCTAGGTGTGCCTGAGGTACTGTGCAGCACCGGGGTCCCAGTTACACCCAGAGTTGTCGTAGTGAAGAGAGCAGTGACCGGAACCGATGTTGATTGGTGTGGAGTCAACAGGGAAGTTTGTGAATTGTGGGAGGTAGAGGTCCTGCCCGTGGAGGATGAGCTGTGTGTTTGGGTGATGGCACTGGTTGTGTACATGACGGGTGTCGATGTTTGTGGAGGCCTTGTGGCTTCCAGTGTGGTTGGGAGAATGGTGCGTGGTGTGGTGGAGGTGGACGCTGCTGATGTCGTGTGTGGGCTGGTTTGGGTGCTAGGTGTCACTGAGCTTGGTGTCACAGAGGAGGTTGATGATAGTGGCATCTGTGTGGAGAGAGAGGTCTGTGGCCCTGATGGGGTAGGGAAGTTGGAGGTGGTCTGCATGGATGTTTCTGAAGGTAGACCTGGGGTGTGTGTTGTGCTAGAGACGGCAAGAGTGGTTGAAAGTTGGGTGGTGTGCGGAGTGTGTGGACTGCTAGGTGTGCCTGAGGTGGTGTGGACCACAGGGGTCCCGGTTACAGCCAGGGTGGACCGTGTTGCTAGGGTTGTTACCGGAAGTGATGCGGATGCATGGGAAGTCATGGAGGAAAATTCTGGAGGGTGGGACGTAGAAGTTCTGCCTGTGGAGAATGAGTGTTGAGGTTGTGTGGTGGCACTGGTTGTGTGAATGACGGCTGTTGGTGTGTGAGGCTTCCCTGTGGCCTCGCTTGTGGGTTGCAGAATGGTGGTCTGTGGCCTGGACGTGGCAGCTGCTGATGCTGTGTGTTGGCTTGTGGGGCTGCCAAGTATCTCAGATGTTGCCACAGGGGAGGATGATAATGTTGGCAGTGGTGTGGTCAAAGAGGTCTGAGGGGCTGATGGTGTTGGGAAGGTGGCCGTGGTCTGCTGGGAGATTCCTGAAGGAATTGTGGTGTGTGGTAGGCTAGAGACAGCAGCCGTGGGTGCAGAGTGTGTAGTGTGTGGCGTAGTGGCGGGGCTAGGTGTGCCTGAGGTACTGTGCAGCACCGGGGTCCCAGTTACACCCAGAGTTGTCGTAGTGAAGAGAGCAGTGACCGGAACCGATGTTGATTGGTGTGGAGTCAACAGGGAAGTTTGTGAATTGTGGGAGGTAGAGGTCCTGCCCGTGGAGGATGAGCTGTGTGTTTGGGTGATGGCACTGGTTGTGTACATGACGGGTGTCGATGTTTGTGGAGGCCTTGTGGCTTCCAGTGTGGTTGGGAGAATGGTGCGTGGTGTGGTGGAGGTGGACGCTGCTGATGTCGTGTGTGGGCTGGTTTGGGTGCTAGGTGTCACTGAGCTTGGTGTCACAGAGGAGGTTGACGATAGTGGCATCTGTGTGGAGAGAGAGGTCTGTGGCCCTGATGGGGTAGGGAAGTTGGAGGTGGTCTGCATGGATGTTTCTGAAGGTAGACCTGGGGTGTGTGTTGTGCTAGAGACGGCAAGAGTGGTTGAAAGTTGGGTGGTGTGCGGAGTGTGTGGACTGCTAGGTGTGCCTGAGGTGGTGTGGACCACAGGGGTCCCGGTTACAGCCAGGGTGGACCGTGTTGCTAGGGTTGTTACCGGAACTGATGCGGATGCATGGGAAGTCATGGAGGATATTTCTGGAGGGTGGGACGTAGAAGTTCTGCCTGTGGAGAATGAGTGTTGAGGTTGTGTGGTGGCACTGGTTGTGTGAATGACGGCTGTTGGTGTGTGAGGCTTCCCTGTGGCCTCGCTTGTGGTTTGCAGAATGGTTGTCTGTGGCCTGGACGTGGCAGCTGCTGATGCTGTGTGTTGGCTTGTGGGGCTGCCAAGTATCTCAGATGTTGCCACAGGGGAGGATGATAATGTTGGCAGTGGTGTGGTCAAAGAGGTCTGAGGGGCTGATGGTGTTGGGAAGGTGGCCGTGGTCTGCTGGGAGATTCCTGAAGGAATTGTGGTGTGTGGTAGGCTAGAGACAGCAGCCGTGGGTGCAGAGTGTGTAGTGTGTGGCGTAGTGGCGGGGCTAGGTGTGCCTGAGGTACTGTGCAGCACCGGGGTCCCAGTTACACCCAGAGTTGTCGTAGTGAAGAGAGCAGTGACCGGAACCGATGTTGATTGGTGTGGAGTCAACAGGGAAGTTTGTGAATTGTGGGAGGTAGAGGTCCTGCCCGTGGAGGATGAGCTGTGTGTTTGGGTGATGGCACTGGTTGTGTACATGACGGGTGTCGATGTTTGTGGAGGCCTTGTGGCTTCCAGTGTGGTTGGGAGAATGGTGCGTGGTGTGGTGGAGGTGGACGCTGCTGATGTCGTGTGTGGGCTGGTTTGGGTGCTAGGTGTCACTGAGCTTGGTGTCACAGAGGAGGTTGACGATAGTGGCATCTGTGTGGAGAGAGAGGTCTGTGGCCCTGATGGGGTAGGGAAGTTGGAGGTGGTCTGCATGGATGTTTCTGAAGGTAGACCTGGGGTGTGTGTTGTGCTAGAGACGGCAAGAGTGGTTGAAAGTTGGGTGGTGTGCGGAGTGTGTGGACTGCTAGGTGTGCCTGAGGTGGTGTGGACCACAGGGGTCCCGGTTACAGCCAGGGTGGACCGTGTTGCTAGGGTTGTTACCGGAAGTGATGCGGATGCATGGGAAGTCATGGAGGAAATTTCTGGAGGGTGGGACGTAGAAGTTCTGCCTGTGGAGAATGAGTGTTGAGGTTGTGTGGTGGCACTGGTTGTGTGAATGACGGCTGTTGGTGTGTGAGGCTTCCCTGTGGCCTCGCTTGTGGGTTGCAGAATGGTGGTCTGTGGCCTGGACGTGGCAGCTGCTGATGCTGTGTGTTGGCTTGTGGGGCTGCCAAGTATCTCAGATGTTGCCACAGGGGAGGATGATAATGTTGGCAGTGGTGTGGTCAAAGAGGTCTGAGGGGCTGATGGTGTTGGGAAGGTGGCCGTGGTCTGCTGGGAGATTCCTGAAGGAATTGTGGTGTGTGGTAGGCTAGAGACAGCAGCCGTGGGTGCAGAGTGTGTAGTGTGTGGTGTAGTGGCGGGGCTAGGTGTGCCTGAGGTACTGTGCAGCACCGGGGTCCCAGTTACACCCAGAGTTGTCGTAGTGAAGAGAGCAGTGACCGGAACCGATGTTGATTGGTGTGGAGTCAACAGGGAAGTTTGTGAATTGTGGGAGGTAGAGGTCCTGCCCGTGGAGGATGAGCTGTGTGTTTGGGTGATGGCACTGGTTGTGTACATGACGGGTGTCGATGTTTGTGGAGGCCTTGTGGCTTCCAGTGTGGTTGGGAGAATGGTGCGTGGTGTGGTGGAGGTGGACGCTGCTGATGTCGTGTGTGGGCTGGTTTGGGTGCTAGGTGTCACTGAGCTTGGTGTCACAGAGGAGGTTGATGATAGTGGCATCTGTGTGGAGAGAGAGGTCTGTGGCCCTGATGGGGTAGGGAAGTTGGAGGTGGTCTGCATGGATGTTTCTGAAGGTAGACCTGGGGTGTGTGTTGTGCTAGAGACGGCAAGAGTGGTTGAAAGTTGGGTGGTGTGCGGAGTGTGTGGACTGCTAGGTGTGCCTGAGGTGGTGTGGACCACAGGGGTCCCGGTTACAGCCAGGGTGGACCGTGTTGCTAGGGTTGTTACCGGAAGTGATGCGGATGCATGGGAAGTCATGGAGGAAAATTCTGGAGGGTGGGACGTAGAAGTTCTGCCTGTGGAGAATGAGTGTTGAGGTTGTGTGGTGGCACTGGTTGTGTGAATGACGGCTGTTGGTGTGTGAGGCTTCCCTGTGGCCTCGCTTGTGGGTTGCAGAATGGTGGTCTGTGGCCTGGACGTGGCAGCTGCTGATGCTGTGTGTTGGCTTGTGGGGCTGCCAAGTATCTCAGATGTTGCCACAGGGGAGGATGATAATGTTGGCAGTGGTGTGGTCAAAGAGGTCTGAGGGGCTGATGGTGTTGGGAAGGTGGCCGTGGTCTGCTGGGAGATTCCTGAAGGAATTGTGGTGTGTGGTAGGCTAGAGACAGCAGCCGTGGGTGCAGAGTGTGTAGTGTGTGGCGTAGTGGCGGGGCTAGGTGTGCCTGAGGTACTGTGCAGCACCGGGGTCCCAGTTACACCCAGAGTTGTCGTAGTGAAGAGAGCAGTGACCGGAACCGATGTTGATTGGTGTGGAGTCAACAGGGAAGTTTGTGAATTGTGGGAGGTAGAGGTCCTGCCCGTGGAGGATGAGCTGTGTGTTTGGGTGATGGCACTGGTTGTGTACATGACGGGTGTCGATGTTTGTGGAGGCCTTGTGGCTTCCAGTGTGGTTGGGAGAATGGTGCGTGGTGTGGTGGAGGTGGACGCTGCTGATGTCGTGTGTGGGCTGGTTTGGGTGCTAGGTGTCACTGAGCTTGGTGTCACAGAGGAGGTTGACGATAGTGGCATCTGTGTGGAGAGAGAGGTCTGTGGCCCTGATGGGGTAGGGAAGTTGGAGGTGGTCTGCATGGATGTTTCTGAAGGTAGACCTGGGGTGTGTGTTGTGCTAGAGACGGCAAGAGTGGTTGAAAGTTGGGTGGTGTGCGGAGTGTGTGGACTGCTAGGTGTGCCTGAGGTGGTGTGGACCACAGGGGTCCCGGTTACAGCCAGGGTGGACCCTGTTGCTAGGGTTGTTACCGGAACTGATGCGGATGCATGGGAAGTCATGGAGGAAATTTCTGGAGGGTGGGACGTAGAAGTTCTGCCTGTGGAGAATGAGTGTTGAGGTTGTGTGGTGGCACTGGTTGTGTGAATGACGGCTGTTGGTGTGTGAGGCTTCCCTGTGGCCTCGCTTGTGGGTTGCAGAATGGTGGTCTGTGGCCTGGACGTGGCAGCTGCTGATGCTGTGTGTTGGCTTGTGGGGCTGCCAAGTATCTCAGATGTTGCCACAGGGGAGGATGATAATGTTGGCAGTGGTGTGGTCAAAGAGGTCTGAGGGGCTGATGGTGTTGGGAAGGTGGCCGTGGTCTGCTGGGAGATTCCTGAAGGAATTGTGGTGTGTGGTAGGCTAGAGACAGCAGCCGTGGGTGCAGAGTGTGTAGTGTGTGGTGTAGTGGCGGGGCTAGGTGTGCCTGAGGTACTGTGCAGCACCGGGGTCCCAGTTACACCCAGAGTTGTCGTAGTGAAGAGAGCAGTGACCGGAACCGATGTTGATTGGTGTGGAGTCAACAGGGAAGTTTGTGAATTGTGGGAGGTAGAGGTCCTGCCCGTGGAGGATGAGCTGTGTGTTTGGGTGATGGCACTGGTTGTGTACATGACGGGTGTCAATGTTTGTGGAGGCCTTGTGGCTTCCAGTGTGGTTGGGAGAATGGTGCGTGGTGTGGTGGAGGTGGACGCTGCTGATGTCGTGTGTGGGCTGGTTTGGGTGCTAGGTGTCACTGAGCTTGGTGTCACAGAGGAGGTTGACGATAGTGGCATCTGTGTGGAGAGAGAGGTCTGTGGCCCTGATGGGGTAGGGAAGTTGGAGGTGGTCTGCATGGATGTTTCTGAAGGTAGACCTGGGGTGTGTGTTGTGCTAGAGACGGCAAGAGTGGTTGAAAGTTGGGTGGTGTGCGGAGTGTGTGGACTGCTAGGTGTGCCTGAGGTGGTGTGGACCACAGGGGTCCCGGTTACAGCCAGGGTGGACCGTGTTGCTAGGGTTGTTACCGGAACTGATGCGGATGCATGGGAAGTCATGGAGGATATTTCTGGAGGGTGGGACGTAGAAGTTCTGCCTGTGGAGAATGAGTGTTGAGGTTGTGTGGTGGCACTGGTTGTGTGAATGACGGCTGTTGGTGTGTGAGGCTTCCCTGTGGCCTCGCTTGTGGGTTGCAGAATGGTGGTCTGTGGCCTGGACGTGGCAGCTGCTGATGCTGTGTGTTGGCTTGTGGGGCTGCCAAGTATCTCAGATGTTGCCACAGGGGAGGATGATAATGTTGGCAGTGGTGTGGTCAAAGAGGTCTGAGGGGCTGATGGTGTTGGGAAGGTGGCCGTGGTCTGCTGGGAGATTCCTGAAGGAATTGTGGTGTGTGGTAGGCTAGAGACAGCAGCCGTGGGTGCAGAGTGTGTAGTGTGTGGTGTAGTGGCGGGGCTAGGTGTGCCTGAGGTACTGTGCAGCACCGGGGTCCCAGTTACACCCAGAGTTGTCGTAGTGAAGAGAGCAGTGACCGGAACCGATGTTGATTGGTGTGGAGTCAACAGGGAAGTTTGTGAATTGTGGGAGGTAGAGGTCCTGCCCGTGGAGGATGAGCTGTGTGTTTGGGTGATGGCACTGGTTGTGTACATGACGGGTGTCAATGTTTGTGGAGGCCTTGTGGCTTCCAGTGTGGTTGGGAGAATGGTGCGTGGTGTGAAGGAGGTGGACGCTGCTGATGTCGTGTGTGGGCTGGTTTGGGTGCTAGGTGTCACTGAGCTTGGTGTCACAGAGGAGGTTGACGATAGTGGCATCTGTGTGGAGAGAGAGGTCTGTGGCCCTGATGGGGTAGGGAAGTTGGAGGTGGTCTGCATGGATGTTTCTGAAGGTAGACCTGGGGTGTGTGTTGTGCTAGAGACGGCAAGAGTGGTTGAAAGTTGGGTGGTGTGCGGAGTGTGTGGACTGCTAGGTGTGCCTGAGGTGGTGTGGACCACAGGGTTCCCGGTTACAGCCAGGGTGGACCGTGTTGCTAGGGTTGTTACCGGAACTGATGCGGATGCATGGGAAGTCATGGAGGAAATTTCTGGAGGGTGGGACGTAGAAGTTCTGCCTGTGGAGAATGAGTGTTGAGGTTGTGTGGTGGCACTGGTTGTGTGAATGACGGCTGTTGGTGTGTGAGGCTTCCCTGTGGCCTCGCTTGTGGGTTGCAGAATGGTGGTCTGTGGCCTGGACGTGGCAGCTGCTGATGCTGTGTGTTGGCTTGTGGGGCTGCCAAGTATCTCAGATGTTGCCACAGGGGAGGATGATAATGTTGGCAGTGGTGTGGTCAAAGAGGTCTGAGGGGCTGATGGTGTTGGGAAGGTGGCCGTGGTCTGCTGGGAGATTCCTGAAGGAATTGTGGTGTGTGGTAGGCTAGAGACAGCAGCCGTGGGTGCAGAGTGTGTAGTGTGTGGTGTAGTGGCGGGGCTAGGTGTGCCTGAGGTACTGTGCAGCACCGGGGTCCCAGTTACACCCAGAGTTGTCGTAGTGAAGAGAGCAGTGACCGGAACCGATGTTGATTGGTGTGGAGTCAACAGGGAAGTTTGTGAATTGTGGGAGGTAGAGGTCCTGCCCGTGGAGGATGAGCTGTGTGTTTGGGTGATGGCACTGGTTGTGTACATGACGGGTGTCGATGTTTGTGGAGGCCTTGTGGCTTCCAGTGTGGTTGGGAGAATGGTGCGTGGTGTGGTGGAGGTGGACTCTGCTGATGTCGTGTGTGGGCTGGTTTGGGTGCTAAGTGTCACTGAGCTTGGTGTCACAGAGAAGGTTGACGATAGTGGCATCTGTGTGGAGAGAGAGGTCTGTGGCCCTGATGTTGTTGGGAAGTTGGAGGTGGTCTGCATGGATGTTTCTGAAGGTAGACCTGGGGTATGTGTTGTGCTAAAGACGGCAAGAGTTGGTGAAAGTTGCGTGGTATGGGGAGTGTGTGGACTGGTAGGTGTGCCTGAGGTGGTGTGGACCACAGGGGTCCCAGTTACAGCCAGGGTGGACCGTGTTGCTAGGGTTGTTATAGGAACTGGTATGGTCGGTTCGGAAATCATGGAGGAAGTTTCTGGAAGTTGGGTTGTAGACATTGTGCCTGTGGAGAATAATGTTTGGATGTTCTCTCTGCTGTCCAACAATGCTAGGTTAGCTGATTTTCCATACTTACCGAGGAATTAGGATTTTTGGTGAATATTTAGTGAATTTGTATATCCCGTCAGTACTTACCCTCCCTTCCCCCTGTGTATGTGCCTGATTTTTCCATGTCCTATGCTCCCGCTGGGGCTGGAAGTCATTTGTATCTCTTTCCTGCTGTTGTTTGTCTCTTCATAGACATTTACTCTCTCACCTCCTTAGCATGTTACAACCTCTCTGAACTGATTTTACTATACTGAGGTTCACCGTTGAACATTTGCCTATGTTCCCTGGTTCCTATGTGTTTTCACTCACCTTGGCTGGTAGATATCTCTGGCTTTTCTGAAGTTAACGTTGTCACAGTGGTACTCTTTGTGAACTGAGCTGTTGTATTTGTGGATGGGCTCTGGGATGATGATGTAGGCTTGGTTGTAGCTTGTGTCACTGGAAGCCTTGTTGGTGTTGACTTGGGTATGGATGTAGGAGGCAAAGCTGAAGTCAGTGTGGTAGCCATGGTAGTTTGAGGGTATTCTGTAGAGGAAATTCGTGGTAATACATCTTTTCCCACCTGTATTTTTTACCTGCATGTTTTTGTCCTATTTTCTTGGCTCCTTCCTGCTTATTTTTATCTCTTCATAGTTTGATGAACACCAGTCCTTTCCTTTTCCTAGCCTGCAAATCCATCTGGCTGGAGTCAGCTCACCTCAAGGGCAGTGACCAGAGGTTCTCACGGGCCACTGATCATCGCTCTGCCCACAGTTCAGCGCTTTGCACTGATATTTCTGCTTGGTGTGCCCAGCAGTGTGTGGGATTGCTGCTGTGTGTGAGTAGGGCAGGCTTCAGTATGGAGGCCCAGTAGATCCCATATCTATTCTAGTGGTAGTTTCATACAGTTTTGAGTGGCCACACTTAGTAACCATCTAGCTTGCGTTATAAGGTAGTTTTCAGAAAAATCTCCAGCCTGTCTTTCATGCCAAGGGAATTTTGTGCTGAGACACTGCCTTCAGGTTTATCTCAGTGTGAAGACAATAGGTGAATCCCCCCATACTGCATCCCCTCCTTTTTACCTCCTGAGGAAACCGTGGATTTCTTGGGGGTGGACCAATCTGTTACTTCCTCAGTGGAAGATGGAGCTGAAGGTGGTGGGGTCAGAAGACCTGGCAAGTAGGAGGGGCCCACAGGTGTAGCTGCAGAGCTGGAACTGTGGAACTCAGTGCTGGTGGGGGTTGTTGCGGTAGGTCGTGAACCTGTTGGGACATATGTGTTCTCATGAATGGGCAGTATCTGGCTCTGGTTCCTATTTGGGAAGAGACTGATTTGCTGGCTGAAGGTACAGGGTGGCTTATGGACCTGTGAAGGGAACATGGACTCCTGGTAGCCTTACCTGTTGAGACCCTGCTTCCTGCTCAATCATACATCAAGTGAGTCAAGTGGCCAAGGCCAGTGGTTGGCCAGGAGCTAAGATGTGTATGCTGTTTCCCTTCTGACTTGGGACTGCAAGGTATATTACCCACCCTCCCAGGACCCAGCAGGTAGGGTGGAGAGGGGAGGGGAGGGGAGGGCTGTCTCCTGGAGCTGGGGTGAGCCCTAGGCAGGAAGCCTTCAACCTGTGCTACCAGATAGTAAGCAATCACCTGTGGTGGCTGGTGGTAGTGTGGTAGTAGGTGGTGCTGCAAGAAAAGGAAGTCATCAGGAATTGCTGCTTGACTGTCCCATTGCTCCCTTGACTGTCCCGCTCATCTCCTGCCTCCTTTCCTCCCTCCCTTGTCAGCCTGACAGGCAGAGTAGGGGACCAGCCAGGTGCCATGGCAGGGCAATGTAGAGCTGGGTTCACAGGAAGATTCCCATTATCTACCTGGCTGGCTTGGGGCACTCTGCCCTAAGATTGTGGCTAAGCAGTGTCTGGGATAAGGAATAGAGCAGAAGCCAAGGGGACCAGTCCAGGACTTTTGTTTCTGCTGTGTACTATGACACTATTCAAGCCTGTGTGTCAGTGTCCTGAGGGAAAGGATCTAGGAAGGAGCTCCTGGGACTGGGCAGACTTGATGCACATTTTAACTACACAAGGGCTGTAATATCTGGAGGTAGGGACCCCTGCTAGACTTACCACAGGGTACACAGGTCCCTGCTTTGTGGTCGAAGTATTCATTCTGGGAGCAGTTGTAGCAGCCTGGGGCAGAAAAGGGTCAGGCTCAGCACTGGTTTTCACACCCACTCGCCCTGCTTGTCTCCTGGCCATTACTGTTCTGTGCTCCCTTCTCAACTCGGCTGCTACCACCTCCTTCCTCCCATTTCACACCAGCTTCTGAGGTCACCTGCTGGACTCTAGAACCCCTTTGTGTCCTTTCTTTAGCTCTTAGTGCTTGTGTTTTTGATTTTGAGACATGTCACTATTTAGCTCTGGCTGACCTGAAACTCACTATATAGCCCAGAATGGCTTTGAACTTATGGAAATCTGCCTGCCTCTGCCTCCTGAGTTATGGGGCTAAAATTGTGCACCTCCATGACTGGCCTGATTGCTTTTTTTTTTTTTTTTTTTTTTTTTTTTTTTTTTGATGTCTTTGTCCCCACTCCTGCCCCCTCTTGTCTTCTACTCTGCCAGAGACTCTAGAGCAGCAGCAATCCATCTCTTTGTGCTGTTCCTATGACACCTGTCTTAATTTCCACTGTGGTAGGTGTCTCATCTGACAACTTTTTAATTCCTTAGTTTGGTTTGTAAGGATCTTTCCCAGACCAGAGAGCAGGGCTAGTTTGTGTGCCTATAGGTCTGTAGTCAAGAACAAGGCCTAGAATTCAGGACACATTTGCTGAGTGTGTGAGTGAGTGAATGTGTGAGTGGATGAATGAGTCCTGGTAGGGGTAGATGTGTGCTGAGTAATGGGTGGGTGAATGAGTGCGTGAGGGTGGACTGTGTGTGAACGAATGAATGAACAAAAGCCTCTTGCATGACATGTGCATCCCTGTGCCCGATACCTTCAATGTTGGTGTCCTGGAAGCTCCCCAAGCTGCCAGGGCAGAGACAGGGCTGGTAGTGCCACGTGCAGTTGGCCTCCCGAGCATACTGGTATTCATTCTCACCCACCAGTGTGTGGATGTTGTAGAAGTCACAGTAGACAGCTGAGAGGAAGGAGTGTGTTAGCTGGCATCAAGGCCTAAGTGCCAGTATGAAGAGCTTGGATGCTTTTGAAGGCTGTCTCCTTTTGGTGGGTCTGGGAAGGGGGAGCCTGGAGAACAGCTGGTGACCCAGGATTGCCCTGCAGGGGTACAGCCTGGTGCCTGCCTGGAGAGAGGCTTCTGAGGTAGGCCTCTGGGCGGAGCAGATTTGGGCATGGGATGAGACACTCACGGCAGAAGTCTGGGGCCCTCCAGTCCACACACACGCCCTTGTCCAGGCAGGCTTTGGCATAAGCAGCCACTGCATCGCACAGACACTCGCAGTCTCCGCCCATGTCACACCCGCAGGTATCACGCACGCAGGCCTCATAGTAGGGCAGGTGGTATACCTATGGAGTGGAGGGTCTCATGTTGGCATTTGGCTTGCACTGTTGCCAAGGTGGAGTTAGACTTTGATGCTGTGGGGTATAGATATTGCTGGCACTCAGAGAGCATCTTAAAGTGTAAGCTGCAGCTATCAGTGGCTACCACCTTCTAGATGTGCATGCTTTTGTTGCTGCTCAGTCAACCCTGCCCGGGGTGCCTGTTAGAGACAACACCTATTGGGGCCGGGGTTTGGCAACCCAAGGCTTACATACCTGATCCTCTTAGGGTCTTTACTCCCTTCTTCAGCCCTCCTGAACACCCCAGATGGACCGTGGCTTTAGGGCCTTTGTACTGCCTGGGGGTTGCCCCCTGTCATTCTTATTGAGCACCAAGAATCAGGGCTGTACTAAAAACTCGTGAGTTCAGAAAAGCTTACCCCTGGCCCTTGCTGGGTCCCTTATGACTGAATACTTCTTCTCTGGGCTATGCGTTACAGAACAGCCAGCTGTTTGCCTGAGGTGACACTTTCTCATTGTTTCATCTGCTATGGTCCCCTAGTAGGCAGAGGTCTGGGCACTGCTAACCATCTCTAGCTTGTGGATGGGTGGATGGCCCTGGCCTCAAGTGATACCTCCAGTCCACTTGAGGCCCATGGTAGGAAGTCTCCATCTTGGAGGACAGGACCTACCTTGCTGTGGCAGGCGGCAAAGGTCTGGCTGTTGATAATGTTGCATTTGCGCTCAGCCCAGGAGCGCCGGAAGGTATTTAGGCTACAGGGATCCACCACATAACTCGCATCCCCACACAGTGGACTTTCTTTCCATGAATTCACAAACTCCAGTTCACTGGATGCCACATATTTGCTGCGTGTCTCAAAGTCATCCTTCATGTTTCCATTGGAGTTGCCACACAAGCCACAGAGGGCATCCTGTGGGAGCAAATTGCTGGGAAGCCATGTAGGTTTCATGGTGGACCCCTCGCCCTGAGACCAGATGGGACCATGGTTCACTGGCAAGCATGTGGTGAGTACCTGGGTAGCACGGCTGATCTTGATAGAGACACTCATGTGCTTGTTCCACACAAGTGTCAGGTTAAGCCTTCCAGGGATGCCTACGTCCAGAACGAGATTCAGGGGGCTGGGCTTCACCTGAAGGTGTACCAGGGGTTCTTCTCCGCTGACTGTGTAGTTTCTGTCCGCCATTGTGATGGAAAGCCCCTATGTGGAGAGGGCTGTCACTACTTGCTTTCTTTTCCTGCCCATCCCAGTACCTAAGCTGTCTGATTTGAGTGTTTGGGAGTTAGAGATGTAAAATTCAACATAATAAATTTCCAGTTTTTATGAGGATCAGGAGTTCAAAGCCAGCCTAAACAGCATGATAAACTTGAGGCTAGGCTAGAGTACATGAGACCTTGTCTCAAAACAATAAGAACAATGAAAGATGTGTAGGAGTATCAGCTTGGACCCAGTCTGGACAGAAGGTTCTGGACATGTGGAAGCAGATTCAGCTTCCTGGAGAACAGCTTTTTCTCCCCCAAATGCTGTATATCCCTGGGAATCTGGTGGAGACCATATGGCTACTAGTTATGAGTGTGCTGCTACCTAGTTGGTCACCACCACTTCCTGTCATACAAATGAGGAAAGATGGTGGGAGGACTATGCAGTAAGGTAGAGGCAGGGAGACCTGGGAACTGATGATCAGACCCCACCCAGTGGGGCCCAGCCACTTACACCCAGGGAGATTTTGATGGCTCGGGAGCAGGTGACCCCTGACTTCCCACAGATGACATTCTCTGTCAGGATCTTGAAGGTAGGCTGAGAGCTATTCACACCACAGTCATCCTGCAAGAAAGGGTGTTGAGGAGAAGCCCTCATGGTCCCCCCGCTGGCTCCTTGCAGCCTTTGGCACTGGATGCAATAGTTACCGTGGCCAGAGTATACTCGCAGTTGCCATCAAACACAAAGCGCTGTCCATCAAAAGTTACGATGTGGCCTTCGCCATAGAGGACACAGGTAGATGGGCATTGTGCACTAAGCTGGCAGGTCCACCTTCCTTGTGAGCAAGTGCTGGGGAGATGGGAGGGGAGGGGTGGGTAGAGGCAGTCCTTCCACACCAGGAGGTGGGCCAGAGATCTGGGCCATGACCCTAGGATACCCCACCTCTGGGAGCCCCACCTTGGGGTCCAACTTACTTTTGGGAGTCCTGGCCTGCCCAGATGGCCCTCAGGATCTGGGCATTCAGGGTAAGGATGACCTACCAGGTCTTACAGTCAGTGTGGAGCTCAGAACCACCACGATAGGACGTCCCTGCAAAGTCACATGGGCATTCCTCTGCAGGCACACACTGCCCGTTGCTGTTTTCATAGAGCCCCTTAGGACACGTACAGCCTGGCTCGCATCTGGTGGGTACCTGGTGAGGAGACAGGGTTCTTAGCTTCTCAGCAGTGTGCTTCCCCAGCTCCAGCTTCCTGAGACTCCCTATGTGTTTCTGTATAGCCTTCTCTGTCTGTCTCTGTCTCTGTCTCTCTCTCTCTCTCTCTCTCTCTCTCTCTCTGTGTGTGTGTGTATCAGACTGGGCTGCCACATATACAGGGACAGGTGGCCATAGCTCACAAGCTGGGAGCCAGTCCATGTCCTCACAGAATTATATAGACAAGCACCCAGTCCTCCAGCTACCTAGCTGCCAGTCAGCACTAGCTATTGAGACAAACACATGGCTGGAGGGGCATTGTGGGTGCAATGTGGCCCTGCCCTGCCCTGGGCTCCTGCAGATTTGTGGAAATCCTCACTGCTTACACAAGCAATTCCTGTGGCCAGCATCTGACATGTAGGTGCACATGCAGCCCCGAACTTGTCCTCTGACGACTGGCTGCAGGACTGGAAGGTCTTGGGCTCTGGGCAGGATGCTGCAGGGGGAAGGAAGACAGGTCAAGTGGACTGGGGGACACCAGGTGGTGTAGGGGCCTGCTGGACAGGGTCTCATAGCCAGCTCCTAGTAGACACTTACCCAAGAACATCTCTGCCTGCCGTGGGCAGCTCAGGCGGCCATTGATGCAGTAACTATAAGAAAGGGGCAGGGGCACATGAGCTTACAGGTATGCAGGGCCCCTCCCTCATCAGGCATTGCCCAGTCCTGCCCTCCATACCATATGACCCCATTGATCATGGTTGACTGATCAGCCTGGACGAACTTGTTGCTGTCCAGAAGACAGGGGCACTGGGCCTTGTGCACACATTCTGCCTTGTGGTTCAAGTAGGTGCCTTCAGGACAGTTGCAGCCATCCACTGGCACAGCACTTGTGTGACACTCTGTCTCACGGTCCGACAGAGACAGGCAGGTGCGGTCACAGGCCTTGCTGTTGTAGCTGAATGTGCGGTTGCCAGTGCAAGACACAGCTGTGGGGAACTAGGGGTCAGGTTCTCAGGACAGGAAGCTCTATAGAGAGGGTCTGGAGCTTGGGGATGTGAAGACTAGCAGGCAGAGAAAATGACTGAGCAGAAGGCCCTAGAATTCCTCAAGATGACCACAGACAGGGGCTCTGTTGGGGTCCAGGCTCCTGTTCCTCTTATGCCCACAGCCCTGCCCCTTATGATGCCTCCACACCCTCTCACCACAGCCAGGACTCACTGCAATTGTCCACACTGTTCCTCCAGCCCAAGAGCAGGATGCCTCGGGAGGAGCAGGCATGGGCATAGGCCCCCAGTGCAGAACAGATGTGAGGGAAGGTCTCCTCATAGTTGCAGGCCTGGTACACACACCTCTGTGGGGAGGGCAGGGCCCAGATGTCAAGGATTGCATCTACTGCCACCACTGCCCCTTATCTCCTTCTCAAATACCCATTGGACCCACCTTGTAGAATGGCTGGGGGTTCACCACAGTGTGGCACTTCTCAAACACACTGCCCTTCCTCAGCAGCATGGAGCAGTGGGTCTCTGCGCACACCTCTGGGGACAACAGGTGCAGTTGTGAGTGTTCTGTTCCCTTCCCATCCCAACAGACTTAGGTGGCTGAGGGTGGGGGTGCAGGAGACTCACTATTGAGCTGGCTCATAGAGCAGGGGTCAGTCTCACGCTCTAGGGCAGCTGGGCAGTTCCCTGCACGCCAGGAGTCCACGAAGAGTGAGGCAGTGCCTTCGTCAATGCCCATGCTGGTTGTGAATTCATCCGTTGTGTCTCCATTGAAATTGCCGCAGAGCCCTGAAGGGGCCGGGATGTGAGAGCAACTGAGTCTTGGCCTTCCCATTCAGTTCCTCCATATCCCCTAAAGCTCTCTTCTCTCCAGCTGTGCCCTTCTGATTAATCATCACTGTCCTCATGAGACTGGGGCGTTCCCTGAATGTGGAGAGCCAGTATAAGGCACTCCTGGGTCTCTGCTGCATCTAGCGGCAGCAGATGAGATGGTCATGCTGGACTCTGGGAGTGGCCCACAGGACAGTGGCTCACCTCTGGTCTTGCCTTTGAACTGGGGCCCGACTGTGATGTACACCTGGAAGACAGGCTGCAGCTGGACCACAAGTTCCAGTCCAAAAGTGGTAGCCATCTGGAGGTGGGTGGAGGTCTGCCTGAAGATGGTGATGTTGCCTGCAAGATTTCAGGGCTAAGCAGGCTGTCCCTGCTGCCAGGCCCCAGAGGCACAGCAACACAGAATTCTCAGTGCTGGCCCCAGAAGGACTTACGTGTCTTGTATGGCAGCAGCTTGATGTCCCCATTGTTGGTGATCACTTCATCCTCTGAGATTACAATTTTGTCCTGGAGGGACAGTGGAGTATGAGTAGAGAGTAAGAGAAGCAGAAGCCAGATGCTGGGTCTGCATGTGGTTGGCCACAGCATGTGCCTGATTGAGGGTAGATAGTCTTACCTTCTTGGACATGTAGATGACAGACACTAGGGAGGTCTCTGAGTGTGAGTAACCTGACTTTTCATACACAGCCATGAGGGTGCCTTCGTTGGGAAGCTGTGGGCTCTGGAGAGGTGAGTGAGTGGGTCAGGCATGGACAGACTGTCCCCTTCCCCCCAGCCCTAGGGCTCCTCCTACCTGGAGAAGAGTGTAGGTGCAGGTGCCGTGGAAGCGGTAGGGTCTGGCATCGAATGTGGTGACAAAGGAGCCACCTTCTAGGGAGCAGTGGCCAGGACATGGCTGCTCTGTGCACGTCCAACGGCCCATGGTACACTGGCTGCAGGTGAGCATTGGGGTAGTCCCCAGTGGATTGTGAATCCCAAGGTAAATAATACCTGTTCTCAGGTTCCATACCAGCAGAACTTCTTGTCCTCTACACTTACCAGGTTCGGCAGGCTGTCCTTGTGATCTCCCCAGGGCCATAGACCACACCATTGAGCATACAGGGGCACTGGCTGATTGGCACACAGGAGTGGTTTCTGGATACATCATCAAGTAGTGTACCTAAGGGCATGAGCTCAGGTTGGATGGATGTTCTTTAGGCAGCCTATCACTGTGGGGACTCCTCCCTAGCTGGCTGTTGAGTCAGTCCCAGGCTCTGCCCCTCCTTCATCCCTGCCAGCCCCAGGAAGTTGCCTTGGATGACTCAAAGCCCACCTCTCCTTAGTACTCTTAGACCCCTCTTCCCCGCTGCTCACTCTGCATGGAGTCCTGGGTTGACTGGAAGTTTTGGGGTGGGTAGATAAGACCTGGACCTGGGACTCATACAGAATGTCTAGGCGAGAGGGGTATAGCTCAGTGGTAGAATATTTCACTGCAGAATGTCTAGGCCAAGCTGGGTCAGAGTGTGAGTGAGTTTTGGGGAAAGTGGGTGCTGGTATATGTCCTCACCGTGGGGGCAGAAGCAGCCGAAGGTGCAGAAGCTGGAGCAGCTGTGCTGCGGATTGGAGCATGTCTTGACGCAGACTTCACCACACTCCTGGTATACCTGGTTGGCCTGGCACTGGCTCACAGCTGCAGGCAGCAAGCATAGGGTCTGGTAAGAAGATCCTGCCCATCTTCCTGAGTTCCTGCTTCATTTTCGCTTAGCTCCTCCCCCACCCAAAGCTGCTTTCCCTTTCACCCTGCCCAGGACTCACGGCAGAGTCCAGGGGTCCTCCAGTTGCGAACAGGCCTGCCTGCCATGCTGCATCGTCGGGAATACTCAGACAGTGTGGCGCAGCTGCAATTTTGCTGGCCTGGCTGGGCACACTCAGCCATGTCTGCCTGGCAGCTCAGCACCAGTGGCTCCTTAGGCACGTCACACCCAGGGGACACCAGGGTCAGTAGCTGGTTGCAGATCTGGGCCTGAATAAAGGGCCACTCAAAGTCACATGGATTAAGCCATACTTGTACCATGCATACCCAGGGCCTGGGGGGCTAGAAGTGGGGGTAGCACTGGCCCCAGGAAGCCCTCTCCCCTGTGTCAGCCACTACTGTCCCTGAGTTCTGGGCCACCTCACATACATATTTGGTCTTCAGAGTGGTGGGGCTGGGGATGGCTTCATGGGCACAGATCTCATTGGGGTCATCTAGCTTCTGGAGTGTGGCATACTTGTGAGGTTCCAGAAGTTTGCCTGGAGGCATAGGACAGAGATCAATCAGCATGTGGGACAGACTACAGAGGGGCCTGGCGCTTGGCCACCGAACTCCAAGCCAGCTTACCATCCTCACTTAGAAATTCATTGTCCGTCTTCCCGTCAAAGTTCCCACACAGTCCACACAGCTTGCCCATGTACTTCTTCTCTACCAGGACCTGCAGGGTGGCACTGCTGGTCCCCGTGGGGAATGCATAAGGGGTTCCCCACCCAGGCTGGAGAGCCCTTGGATTCTTGCTTCAGGGTTCCATGTGTCCCCACCTTCTCTCCCTGCCCTCTCTGGGGTGTGGGGTTCCTTTCCTGGCTGGATGCTCCTCCTTTTCAAATGGGGAAACTAAGCAGCTATCTAAGCTCAGGTTCCCTTGGGTTGCTGGCCAGCAGTCAGTGCTGTTGTGCCAGTCTGGGCTCCTGGGACTCACTCTGAGGAGGGCCCTTTCTGAACACTGTTTGTCAGCTCATGGCTCTCACCAGAAGATGGGCATCTGGACCCCATATGACAACTAACTCCAGCTCCAATTGCTTGGCCACCAGTCTCACGCTCCGGCCATATGGCGTGATCTGGAGGCCGTTGCTGGTGTAGGGCAGGCTAACAATCCTGTGGGTAAGACAAGTCAGCAGCTGTCCCTTCCGCCTCTGACCCTGGCTGCCCTGCCCCATAGCTTACCCAATGTCCCTGACAGAGATGACTGCCTTTCTCACAGTGACCACAGAGGCCCCTAGTTCCATGATGATCCGGGAAATGTTCCCATCCCTATCTCTCCGCAACTGGATGCTAAAGGTGGGCAAGGCATCCCCGCATGTGGCCGTAAATACATAATTGCACATCCCTTTGAAATCATACTCATGGCGGTCGAAGGTGGAAAAGTGGCCATCTCCCCACGTAGAGCACCAGCCCTTTTCTGGGGCTGCAAAGAAAATGAAACACTCCCAGTGCTGTGTCCAGTGACCAAGCAGGGTGTGTCTGGGGCAGCCTGGCCCAGAAGCTTGGACCCTGGAGAGCCCACCATAGCCCCAACCCCACATGCCCACCCATCTCTGGCCCAGGCTCTGTCTTCTGTCTAGGCCTTACAAGATTGCAGGCTATCCTCAGGGTTGGAATCTGTGGCATCTCCAGTCCAGGCACCTGAAATGCAGGAAGCTACAACTCAGCGTCCCACCCAGGGACAAGCACAGAGGTCACAGTGCTCTAGATGAGAGCTCTTGGCTGGAGCCGGAGCTGTGGTTTTCATTGCTGGGTCCTTCTTGTGGAAACCCCAAACCACAGCACCACAAGGCCTGCATGCTGTATATGGGTGTGGTCAAGCAAGCATGTGCGTGTGTGTGTGTGTGTGTGTGTGTGTGTGTGTGTGTGTATGTGTGTGTGCGTGTGCGTGTGTTGAGGTGTGGCCTCCTTCCTGCACACTGGGGCCATTGGGCCTTTAATACTGTTGTCAACAGCGATGTGGTTGCTGATGCCTCTCACCTGTCCGTGGAGAGTCCTTCAGCTTCCAGGGACCTAGGCTGGTAAAGGAGGTGGTGTCCAGACCTGTATGGACAGGACCCATGGTTAGTGTTGTGACGGTTACCTCAACTTATTCACCCCATTGTCATGCCTGATGGGTTTGTCTACTTCTACCTGTGCAGCAGCCCTGAAACAGCACAAGCTGTCTGCAGTATGCTTAACTGAGTAGGAAGCAGGCTCTAAGAGAGGACAAAGAGTAGATTCCAGACCAAGCCCCGGCATCTCAGCTCATTTTCCTGCAGCTATAACATCTCTCCTGCTTCCATTGCCTCTTTCGTTTGTTTGTTCATTTGTTCATTCATTCATTCATCCATCCATCCATCCATATATTAGACCTTTGGCTTAGCTTGGCTGTGTGAAGCCCCCGCCTCATGCCTATCACCATGAGGTGCTGCAGGCCCACAGCACAGGGCTTTTGTTCCCACAAGGTCCCAGGAAGGTGGCACCCACTCAGATAGCACACACATGCTGCAGAAGTGACCTGGAATGCTGAGCACATGAAGCGAGGAAGAGACGTCAGCTGCTACTGTGCATTCTGGAATGGGAAGGCATTCTGAAATGGGAGGGCATTCTGGAATGGTGTGTTCTCTACTCTGGGGCATGCTGGAGGGACACATTGTCCTGTGGAGGCCAGCAGGGAGTGGAGTAGAACTATCAGGATATCCTTGGGGAGCAAGGGCCATGCCAGGATGGGGGTATCTTGATCATTGATGTCTGCTAGGGTCACTCCCCCCTCACTCGGTTGAGGCAAGCTCAGCCAACACAGAATCTAAATGTAGGGATGGACTCTGAGGAGACCTGCTGTGCACAGGGCTCATCTCCATGAAGCTCTTGGTAAGGATATAAGGGGGTAGGCCTGGGGTATGCTGAGAGCTAGCAACTTAGGAGAGTACAGAGGGCTGAGACAGATTTTGGCTGTCTCCTGTGCCAGGCCACACCCAGTTGTGCCCCTGATCTGGCTGCCCAGTCTCCCTGTGGGTCTATTCTATTAACTACCCAGAAACTACCTACTCCCCAATCTGGGGTCCTGCACTTGGTTTTCTTCCTTTTTTCCTCCTTGGCAGCCTCTCAGACAGCTGTAGTAGGCCCTTGAACTGTGGTAATCATTGCCAAATAGCATCAGTTATGGTGACTTCCAGACAGGGCCAAGCAGCCACAAAATGGCTGTGTAAGGGAGGGCTCCTCTGGGACTCCCATGGGATGTAATGTCCTGGCCCCTCTGCTAGTGCCTTACTGGACAGACTTTCCACTCTGCTGACCAGCTGGACCACACAATGCATCCTCTGGGATGCAGTTCTCCTGGATTCTACTCTGAGCTCTCCTGAGTTTGGGATGTTTGTTTCTAGTTGGGGAGCACAGATGCTCACATACACACCTTGATCAAAGAACAGTCATCCTGTATTGAGGAAGAGCATCCTCCTGAACCAAGTATGGAGCAGTGAGGAGGGAAGGGGATGCTTGCTTAGCCAGCCAGATCAGCCAAGAATCAATGTCACCATTAGTGTGGTGACACATGTCACAGCCTCACGTCATCCCATGAGCTTTGCGCAAGGTGCTCTCTTCCTGACTGCTGCCAGTCACTTACACAGTATGTGCACCTCTAAGTGACACCCAGGGCAGAGATGGATCAGCTGAGGGCTTTGTGTGGCTTGTGCCAATGTGCAAGAACTACCATGGCATTTCTGAGTGTTCCTTGGGACTTAGGGTCTAGCTCATGAGTCCTCTCTGGCAATGCAGTGAGGATCTGGCAGGAACAGGGGTGGGACTTTCACTGAGCCCCAGCCTGATGTGTGGCCACCCATCACTCTTCCCACCCCCCTCAGGATCCAGCAGGCAATGGGAATGGGAGATCTAAAGGAATGTCTAGGAAAGTCAGTAATACTGTCCAATGATTCTTAAGCGTGTGGAGAGTGGTCCAGGTTCCCTGAGCAACACCCTCAGTAGTTCAAATTTCTCTATCTTCCAGACAGGGTGGGGACACTGGGGGCTATCCCACTCTATGAAGTGTAAGTAGCACACGCTCAGATCCTGGCCCTTCTTGGTCCCATACTTGGGCCTGGCCCCAATGCCTCACTATTCTGTCTATTGTGCTCCTACGGGGCTCCTGTCCCATGTCTGTGGATCCCTCCTCTGAGTTTCCCCTCTGCCTGGCCCCAGCCTGAGTCTGGCCGTACTGGTTTTCTTCAAGCTGGCCTCTAGCTGGAGGCCCTTTTGAAGGTGTTCAGGAGACCCCTTCTGCCGGGACCGTCTATCTGCACCTGTGTTAACTCTTTTTTCATAGGGTTTCCTTCAGCTTGTTTGGTGGCCTCACCTGTTCTGGGTTAATCCCACTGCCTCAGGTGTCTCCTTCCCAGCTTCTGTAGCCTCCGGTCCCATCTGGCCTGCCGACCTCATACTCTCCTCCCTCTGCCCTCCCTCTAGGCTACACAGAGGTGATACTCAAACACTGATGTCAGAGCAGCTCTGTCCCTTCAGCCTCCCAACTCGGCAGCACTCCTGAGCCTCTCCCATCAGCCCCTCCTGTGGCTTGTTCCCCTATCCCTGGCTGTGGGCCCAAGGGATGTGGTTCCTGTCAGCGACCCCTCCTCTTCCTGACAGGAATGCTGGGTAAGGGGCAAGACAGGGTCCCAGGTGACCTGGCAGGACCTAGACCTATAGGTGTTTATGGTGTTCAGAGCCACCTTTGGTATGGACGGCTGGCCCTAGTTACTGGGGAGGGCCATTGTTGGAGGGAGAAGCAGACCAGCCTGGTGGGAGGGACATCGCATTATTTCAAGTCTAAGACCCACCTAGAACCTTTGTTTGCCCCCAGGGCTGGGTGCATTCTGAGGTTGAGCTCTATATGGCTTACCCCCAAGGGAAGGTTCCTGACAGCTGTGATTGGCATATAGAGCTATGGGCTAGGGTAGCACAAGATGTCACCCCACATATACAGAAGGAGAAGTTGAGACCTGGAGCCCAACATACAGTTATGTTAGTGAGTGAGGTCAGCAGTGATGGAGCCCAGATTCTGTCTGGGACCTTTGGCTTCAGCACCAAAGGAACAACTCTGTTAGGGTGACTCATGCCCCTGCCCCTACATACCTCAAAGACCTCTCAGCCAGAGCCAAGGAGGAGGGGGAGGGGGAGGGGGAGGAGCGCCAGGTCTGCCCTGTTGCTAGCCACTGTGTTCTGCTGTTACCAAGACTATGCAAGAGGGAGCCCCATTCCCCATTGCAAGTGAGCATGTTCCATTCCTGGCCACCACACCCAGCTCACAGGAGGTAAACGGGTTTGAGTAGTATGTTGGGACCCTTCTGCCTCCTATATTCATCAGTGTCTGCATGGCAAGAGTCAATGAGGCGAGACGGCCTGAGGACTTTGCCATGTGCAGGGACCTGTGGAGGGCATTGTGTAAACCCCCGGGCATAGCCTGGCAGATGCCCACTCACCAGCATTGATTAGCGATCCTCTGAAGAACAGCAGCAGCAGCAGCAGCTGCTGAACCCTGAGCATGGTGGCACTCCTGGAGCAGAGAGGAGCCACCAGCCCTGGTCTTCTACTGCTGGGCGCTTAGGCAGTCTTGCTGCTGCCTCTGCTGCGACTTGAGTGTCTAGCTCTCCGAAGCATATATAGGGGTGGTGTGCCCTTCCCCTGCCGCACCCACATGTGCCCCATACTCCAGGCCTGTGATCACCACCGCCTGCCGGGCCCAGCGGTGGCCAAACAGGATATGGGGTTCCGCTTTATCAGGACTCAGACTTCTTTGGAAAATTCTGCAGTGGCTGAGGCCCCATTATCTTTCTACTCCCAGTGGGGGGCCTGACACATGCATTCTCAGGGCCCACAAACACCTCCTGCATCTGGCTGTCCTAGGGGCCATGGTGGGTCCTGTCACAGCCCATCCTAATTGTCAGGTCACTGTGGACACCATCAGTCACACACCTGGGTGCCTGGGATAGGGCTGGTCCAGGTGAATAATAGAGGCTGGGCCTCTTCCTGACACTGCCAGGTAATCCAGCCTCCACCACAGTGGAGTACCCCACCAGAGATACTCATTTTCTGGATCTACCCCATATATTGTGTGTTTTCCTACCAGGAGAAAGATCATCTGGGGAGGGGTCCTGTACTGGGGAGATCCCTGGTACTGTTTGCTGTGCTCTGTGCTCTTGTTCTGTGGGCCAAAGCTATTTGGAAGATGGGCTCCTGGGAATGAATATGAGAGACAGGGGCTAAAGGTGGGGTGCATGCCATCTTCTTAAGGGGCTAATTCTAGGGTTAGGGCAAAGATCAGGCAGAGGGTCAGAATCAGGATTAAGGTTGGGGTGAGGAAAGGCCAGGGCCTTTCTTTAGACTGTCTCAACCAGGATATGAGGTGGGATCCAACAAACCACTGAGTCTGTCCAGTCCCACTGGGAGCCGGGGATGAGGCACAGGAATCTCCTGGTGGTGGTTTTGGTCACTCTAGTGAGTGCTGAGTTGTGGCACTTACACCCCTGAAGGAATTCAGTACCAGCCCTTAGCTGTGTCCATTACAGGCTTGGTATTGGCTCTAGCCCTACCTGAGTCTAGGTCCCCAAATGAGCCTGTATTTCATAGCCAGGCTCAGCCAAGCCCCATAGCCTGGACCCAGATTGTCTGCCCTCATCCCCCATCTCTACATTGGGAAATCTCAGATTCTGTTCTCACTTGGCTCAGCAAATCCAGCAGATCCTGTAACAAAGCAGTGGATGTTGTTTTCTGTAAATTAATCTTAGCTTTAAGGGGATGTTTTAGGTTTTGGGTGTGGCACTATAATACAATGTGTGTCTAGCATATTTGAGGTCCTAGGTTTGACCTTAAGCAACCCCAAAGAACCAACAACCCCCCACCAAACCAGAGAGAGAACATCTTTACAGAAACTCTGTGAGTTCAGTCTTGGTGGGTAGAGTGGTCATTTAATGCTGTGTGTGCTTTTGGGTGGCCTATTATTACTCTTACTTATTCTTCCTTCCTTCCTCCCTCCTTTTTTTTAATTTAATATCTTTATTTATCTTGTTTAGTGTGTGTGTGTGTGTGTGTGTGTGTGTGTGTGTTCACTTGTGTTCATAGTTTGTGTATGTGCCCCATGTGCATGTGGGTGCCTGCAGAGACCAGAAGAGGGTTGGAACCTGAGTGCATTACAGGCAGAGTACTGTAAACTAAACCTGGATTATTGATAAAAGCAACAGGTACTCTTTTTTTTTAATGAAAAGGTTTGTTTATTTTTATTTTATGTGTATGAGTGTTTTGCCTGCATGTATGTCTCTGCACCATGTATGTTACTGGTACCTGCAGAGGCCAGAAGAGCGCATCAGTTTTTCTGGGACTGGAGCTATACATGGTTGTGGGCTGCCATTGGGTGCTAGGAATTGAACCCTGTTCCTCTGGAAGAGCGACAGGTACTCTTAACCACTGGGATGACAGTTCAGTAATGGCAACAAGTTCTCTTAATGACTGAGCTGTCTCTCCAGCCTCTCAGTGATTTCTCTCCTTTTTAGTTTTCATATTTTGATTTATGTGTGTGTGGTGTTTGTGTGTATGTGGGTACAGGTCCCAGCAGAGACTAGAGAAGTCAGAGTTGGAGCTGGAGTTTAAGTTACAGGCAGTGTTGAGGCATGTCTCCAGTCCTCCTAGTGGTTTCTTAGCATTCAACAGCACCCATTCAGGTGAGAAAGTGAGGAACACAGTGACGTTTTCACCCAAAGTGACATGACTGGAACTTGTTTAGCTCTGACTGCAGACTTGCAGCTGGACTTGGGCAGATGAAGAGGGACACAGGGTGGACCCAGACACAGGGAGCCACGTAGAAGGGGCTTATGACCCTGTGTGGCTAGGAGGCCTATGTCTGCTTGGCTGGCTGGATGTGCTTGTTTAACAATCCACAGGGGCGTGTGCATGTGCGCACGTATGAGTGGCTCAGAGCTGTACCTTCCAGGATCTTCTGGGCTGTTTTGGGCTGCATGCACCTGTGGCAAGAAGGCAGCACTAGGGAGCGGCATTGCCCTTTCCCGGGTCAATGACTCCATCCTGGTGAGGAGGGGCCACTGGAGGGCATCAGGGCCCACCTTCTACAATACACTTACTTGATTGGCAGGAAATCACGGCTCAATAGTGTTTTTGTCCTTTGACTTGGGAGAGCGAATGCACTGAGTAAACAGCTCTGACAGCTGAGATAGTTCTGACGGGGAGATAAGTGTGTGCACTATTGTTCCCTCAGCAATCACAGTGATAAGCCCCAGATCCCTCAGGTGGGCCAGGAAAGCGGAACCTACAGCTGGACAAGTGCACGATTGTCCTCTCTCACGTTCAGCTCAGACCCTTGCCCTCCACGTCCATCAGTGTGGCCAAGCCTTGGACAGTGGCCTCCCAGAGCCTAGGCTTGGCCGTGAAGTGTGGTCCAAGCCAGCTCTGGTCCTAGAGCAGTGGTTCTTAATCTTCCTGATTCTGTGACCCTTTAATACAGTTCCTCATGTTGTGGTGACCCCAAATCACAACATTATTTCCACTGCTACTTCATACGGTTATAAATTGTAATGTAAGTATTTGTGTTTTCTAATGGTCTTAAGGGCCTCCTTGAAAGGGCCGTTCAACCCCCTAAGGGGTTGTGACCCACAAATTGAGAACCACTGTTCTTGAGAGAGGTGGCCCAAGGTCATGCACAGCTAAAAGCAAGCCTCGGTGTGGGCTTTTGTCCATAGCAGGGGCTTCCAACATTCTTCATTATGCTTGGATCCTCCCTCCTGCCACAGGTGAGGAATCCCAAATCCTGGGTTTGCTTTGTCTCTTTCAGATGTATAGGAGTTAACATATTGGTCAGCCCATCCAACCATCTGTCCCTGACTTCTGGGTCCATCTGGGTTAGGTGTGACATTCTCTGGGAGAAGAGCCGATGTTTTCTAATCCCTTTGGCTTGACAGCCATACACCATCAGATGAAAAGGCTTTAGGGAGAGTTTGTGAAAGATGTCCACACCAGAAGTAGGGATTCTTCCCTGTGGCTGAGGCAGGCTCTAGAAGGGTGAGCCAGGACTGATCAACATGGAGTCTGGATGGAGGATGTAGCTCGGAATTCCCAAGGACTGGGTGTAAACTGTGGGGTCATGGGTCTGATGTCTCTTGAAGGTTGAGGGTGGGCTGTCTGTACCTTGGTGGTCAGTGAGCTGCAGAGCCGACTCATGGGCACCTGTTGGGGGAGGGTGAGAACTGGTACTGGTGACCCTGGACACAAGTGGCTGAGAGGCTTCAAACCTTGGAGCAAGAGCCATGCCTGCCATGCCTTGTGTGTAGTAGGTGTCAGTCAGCTTTGGACTCTGACTCAGTGAGCTTAATTAGCTGTCCAAGAAAGGGCTGTGCCCTCCTCTCCCTCTGTCCCCAAGTATCAGTGGTATCACCCTCTAATTCTCATATGCCCTGGCCTCCCGGTTGCCTTGAGAGCACACAGGAGATCAAGTATTCCTGGCCCACTTGCATCCCTTGCCCTAGAATCCTGCGGGTTGGTACCCCTACCTGGACCCATGCTATGCTATTCTTCTACTACAGCTACAGAATGTCCAAGATCCTATTAACTCCTGCGCTCTGGCCCCCTACTCTAGCCAACACTTGTTTCTTTGGCTCTTGTAGAATTCACCCTGAGCTGCTGGAGTCAATTCTGATGAAAGTGACAATGAAGCCAGCAAATCTTGTGTTATGGCCACAGCTAGTGGGTGTGTGTTCCCTGCATAGCCCCGTCAGTGACTGTTCCTCAGTTTCTACCTAGCAGAGTGCCTAGATCTCACCACTTGCTTTGGCTCTGACTCTTGACCTGGGATTTGGTTGTGATCAACCCCTCCCTCTGGATATGGGCCCTGGCCTCAGGCCTTGGCAGAGAAGTGACTACTTAAGGTAGGTCCCGCCTGGGTGGAGTGGAACTATTTTCTGAAATGGGCAGAGAGCTCACTACCATGCTCTTGTCTGGCTGGGGCCCTTTAGTCCTTTGTGTTCATGGATGCCTTGTTTTGGTGCCTAATAAAGGGACTGCAGATAATAGGGGTGACATCAGAAAGGGGTGCTAGGTGGGTCCGGACTCCTGGGGAGCCGATATGTCTTAGCCTGGGGTGAGGGTGGCTGCGGCTGGCTCGCACCTTCTTCTTTCCTTTTCAGATCTGCTCTCATGTAGCCCAGACTGGTGTTGACTTGCTATGTGGCTAAGGATGACCTGAACTTCTGCTCCCCCAGGGGCTGAGATGACTAGTGTGAACCACCAGACTTGATTTGTGAGGCACTGAGGATCAAATTCAGGGCTTTGTATATGTTGATGAGCTACACTCCCAGTCTGAGATGCCCACCTTTTGACAGGCAGGCTTCTGGCTCAGCTGTCCCTTGGGTCAGGGGAGACATTGCACCTCCGAGTCCCATGCTTCCTCATACCCTTCGTTCTACATGCAGGGGGGGAGGGGAGCCCTGGGTCTTACTGTCCATCAGATAGAAGCCCACGATGTTACCTTCCCCATTGCTTAG